CTCCTCCTCCAGGATCATTTCAGCAATAGCCGGCTTGATCTCGTGACCCACTCCGCCGGAACCCGAGGCCCCGCTGGACCCCGGCCCGTCGCCCGTGGATCCTCGATAAAACTGGCTCCGACTACCCCCTTCCTGACTCGAGAACCCCCGATCGTAAGAGTCCTGGTACAGAGGAATCACCCCCGAACCCGGCGAGTTGGTCGGGTAACAACTCGTGCCCGCCAGGTTCGACAAGTACCGCGCGTCCTTGCGGTAACCATCGTCGAACCGGGACCGCTTACGGAACGGAGACGACGGGCTGCAATTTTCCAACGATAATCTTTCGTTTATACACCTTGACGGCAGGAAAAAGGATGGCTACGTCGTTATTTTAGTATAAAATTTCTTTGAGGAGGAACTAAAGTCCCCCTCCCACTCTTATGGCAGTAGCGGCGCAAGTTTTTCAGCAGTCTTTCGTCAGAAACTTTCCAAGGTAAAGTCAGAAATGTTCCATTATCATGATACAATCTCAATGCATTTTAATCTTCCACGGGGTTGAGTTAAAGTCAAAATGATAACATAATTGGGAGCAATTCTTCGCATTTTCCCAAGAGGGTTCGAGATTTAACGTATATGCATTTTATGAGTTAAATCGGATTTTTTGTTGAAAACTCGGTAAACATTTTCGCGTTTTCATCAAGAGTTCAAGCTTTATGGTACAAATAGATGCGCTTTATGAGTGGAATACGAAATTTTTTGAACAATAAGTAAACATTATTCGCACTTTCCCTACTTCAAGAAATTCCCTGAAACATCCTTCACTCGTTCAACAAGTTGAATTGGAAAACACCAAAAGGACAGGCAGTTCCACAATCTAAAAAAGTACAGTACAGTACAGTATATTCAATTAAAAATTTTCACACGAAGATATTTTAAGGTGCGATTCCCGAAGGAGGAATTAGCGTGAATACTCAAACGTACACAGCTTGCATTTTCTGAATATTGATAACGTTTATTCTACAGCTGAAGGAGCTAAGCGCCGATTCCACATAAATAATAAGTGGTGTATTGAAATAAAATCAGTATGCAGTATTGCAGTGATTACTTCGTAATATGTAAATCCATATGATTCGAGTTTGCTGCAAAAATTACGAGTTAGTTTTATGATCCGGACATTTTGACTTCACACCGAATAATCACAATTTCGATCAGCTTTAGGTACACATAATTTTAGCTCAAGGCAGAATTTTCATTACATAATTCTCCGTACTTTTTTTTCCTGGTTCAAGCAATGCTTCCCGAATCTTCTCAACATATTCATCACCAAGTTAGGAAAACGCATCCGAGCTTTTAATTGAGAATTTTGAACAAACCAGAAATGTTCCATTTTGCACAGAGCAGCAATAGTGTGGACCCCGCATTAGCCCCGAGAGAAGAATATTTCAGTAACATAATCCAGTTATGCGTGTGACAAACATTTTTCGTGTTTTTTAATCAAGATTCCGGAGAGATAGGAAAAATTGAGTCAAAAATATTCCTCTCTCACCTGTATTCTTCTTTGACGAGGGAATGAGCGCTGTTGCGTCCGTTGCTGCCACAACCGTTCTCAGTAACTGAAGAGGCTCGACTGCAGTCGGGAGCCAAAGTGACACGATTGTTGTGGTCAACCTCGGCCAAGCCACGGATACGAAAAGCTTCAGCAAGGCTTATCAAAGTCGGGATTTGCTCCTGACATACAAGCAGAAAATGAGAAAAAAGCACACGGCACATGAGAAGGAGCTTCAAACTTTCATTAAATCCCAATTTCAAACACTACTACTGTGCATCCCATCTTCTGTTATCTTGCGGGAATCAGAAATCCAAAATTAGTCATAAACTTGACTTGCAAGAAAAAATTACCTCCCCTCACTAACAAAACTTACGCAAATTCAAAAATCTCCAAGTTGATTTTCCAGGAACTACAACAAATTGATCTATGCTGCATTCGGTAATCGTTTAGTTTTGCAGATTCACGACGCATCCACTCCAACATTTCTCATTTCCAAACAATTTTTTTATTCATTTAGTAAATTCCAAAATCCTAGTATAGATTTCAAAATAGAAACTTCGAAAATTACGAAGAATAAGAATGTTTCAATATGGTGTTATTTACGTACAGTATTCTAAAGCAGCATTCAGAACGGATAAAATAACCTTCACATAACCATGAAATGTTTTCAGTGAAAATTAATTTTCCGATTTTCCTTAAATGCATCTGTTCCGAGTGCAATTAAATGAGAAGAGATAAATCCTTAATGACAATAGTTGGCTTTATTTCCCACATATGGCTATAATATTAATTAATTTAAATGATTTTTCGAAAAAGAAACCGATTTTTTTGTGCAGCTTCAAATTTTTTTCGTATTGTTTTTTGCTCACAAAGTGATACAGTATATTCGTGATAGATTCGGACTCCGTAAATCACTCAACTGAATACGAATAGTAATGAATTATAGAAAATAAAACCATGCATTGTTCCCGAAAATGCATTGTTCTTCAGAACTACCCCCGTTGAAGAATAGCACTTTTTCGGTAAACGTTGAACACAGTATTTCAGATATCAAGAAATTTAAATCTTCCTTCATACCTGATGTACGTTAACCTGCCCCTTGTACATGAACTCCACTAGCGGCTTCAAGTCCTCGTACCGCACGTCCTTGAGTACGATGACCGGATGCTCGCACGGCGTCTCCCGCAGGAGGGCTTCGAAATACGGACTACATGCAGCCAGGACAACCTTGAGGGATAAAAATAATCCCGAAGGGGGAATTTGTTTCAATATTAAAATTCAACACAACACTTGTTCAGGAATTCCTTGGCGGAAAAAAAAATACCGTACAGTATTTCATCGAGTACCACGCGCCCCCCATTTTCCCTGACCAAAAATTTGCAATACTTTTGGAAATAAAACAATCAACATTTAAATTTTGACTTCCACGAACATAAATTAGATTATTCTTGGTAGATCGTCATTGTGACAAGTAGCTCCTAGATGTCTCAAGGTATAATTCCACTAGGAAACAAATACTATCCTGAAAAAGTGAAAATTGCGTAGTATAGAGGGAAAAACTCGTCATAAATTTGGTCATGTGATCACTGGATATTCCTAGTGATCACCTGATTACACACCCCCCATTTTCCATGGTGCAATTCTCTCTCCTTTCATGGATTGTTTTCTTCCCTGAATGTGCACTCCTCAGCTGATTTCCAGGGTGTTCAAATCTTAAAGTTCTCAAATATTTTTTTTTTAAGTTTTCCACGTTCATTATGAAATAAACGACAGTATTCAATTATCTCTCAGGGGATTTCTGGTAGGGTTTTATTCAATCTGCATTTTTTGTGGTCTGTGCATCACAGTTCCCTCGACACACCTTGTGGCACTTGATGGCCGGGATCATGGCCCCCGGGTACGCCGTGGAACAGGCCAGAGTCACGTCCACAAACGTCTCGTTCCGCAACAAGGCGTCAAAGCCGTGGGACAAGTTGGACTGGAAGTTGTGCCAGCGGAGGCAGAACTGCTGCAAGTCGTCGTCGCCGCCACTGATGGACGACGTGCGACTTTCTTGAATGGTCGGCGTCGGACGCGGCAGAGAGCCCGGGTCATCGTTCATCGACGAGCATTCCACGCCCGAGCTCAGCGACACCATTCCGGACTGGTGTGGATGCATTGTTGCGGGTCCTAAATCCTCATCACACCGCGATCTCGTTTCTTCTCGACATCAAGTCAACATTTCTATCGTCTGTTCCTCCTTACCATCTGCAAAAATGTCCCTTCTTTATAAAATTCCAACTATTCTCGATAGAAGCTATCCTCGGGTCAAAAATTGCCCTCCAATCACGATTTCCACACTCGGGGATTTAAACGCTAATCTAACCTCGAATCTCTCACAAAAATCATCAGGCTAAAGGAAAATTCCCCGGGGTCGATATTGGGGTCCTTCCTTGTTACGGCTGTCCATGCAGTGGTACTGCATTCATGTAGGTAACCAACTTCGGAATCGCATACAGGGTACAAGAGAGGAATTAGTTAGGGTATTTTCGTTAGGTAAGATACGGGTCACGTTAAGCAAGTTCAGGTGCTAAGTTCCGTCAGTAAAATGTTATTATGTGATAAGTCGGGGGATTTATTTCGTAAAGCCGGCGTTACAGTATTAGGTTACGTAAGTTGGGCAAAATATTCCATGTTATGTAAGTTACGCGTTACGAGATTATCGAACGGTACTGTACTGCTTAAAATAATGTATACGATCATTACTCAAAAACGTAGGGATGAGGACCTTTGACAAGTAATAACTAACATCATTTTCCCCTTAAAATGGAATCAAATTCATACCCATGGAAAAGCAATCCAAGTTATCTTTCACTTTACTTTCAAAGTCATTTCTTTTTACTTGGACTGCTTCGCCAAAAAAAAAAAACAGTACTGCAAAAGAGACAAAAACCTCCGAACAGGGAAACTTACTCGAATGTGGTGGGGTGAAACTTTTTTACTTCAACTCGTGCAGGTAGAAGAAATACTTATTGCGATTTACAATTTGAGGGTAAGCGTTGCATTCGAATGGTTTTTTCAAGGTTTAACACCATTCGTTACAATCGAAGTTTCATCTACGACGCCAGCATTGAATGAACGTATTCCAAGACCGGGAAAAATTGCTTTAACTGATTCAATTTTTGGGGAACGCCGTACTGTGAAGTACTTTACCAAAGCAGGTTTCGATATCGACGCCGTAACGATGAAAATACGAAATATATAAAAAAAAACCAGACTTCAATACTTCCGAACATTAGAAAAATCCTGATACTTCTTCGGATGTTTATAAATTATGGCAACATTAGTTAATATTTGAGGCCCGCGGAAAACGACATAAGCCCCACTTAAGCCACCGATTTTCACAAATTAGTCCACGAGTTCTTCACCTGTAAAAAAGAAAGGCAAAGTGAGTTTTAATTCCATGAGATCGCAAAGGAGAAAAGGACACCAATGAAAGAGAAACACCACGAGTCAATCCTCGCGATTGATCCAAATTCGTGTTCCTTTCGGAAAAAAAGGTCCCACGAATAAGAAAATCGGTCATTCTCCGAAATACGAATACAGCAGCTGAAGCGAATTGTACACGAGCAGGAGACACGAACACGCAGAGAGAAACGAAAATACTCCACGACACGAAGATAGAGAAAGAGAAAAAAGAAAAACATCAACAGACGGAATAGCCAAAAAAGCTAGACAATCAGAAAAATATGCCCCCTCCCGCAGGAAACGAAAAAACCCTCACTTTCCATCATCTTCGATACCCCGCGGGGTCTTCTTCCAAAAAACTTGTACAAAATCCAGTTAACTTACAAAATTTTTTTGGGCCGAGCCGTTCCCTACCTCCAAAGGGAATTTCTTCTCGGACTTTTTGTGTGTCTTTCCAAAAAAAAAACATAACAAAAACAAAAGAAAAAACGTGGAGGCTAACCAATCCGGCGCTTGTTCACAAATCCCAAGAGAAAATTTTCGTTCAAGAAATCCAAGAAAAAAATAATGGAACACTGCACTACAAAAAAACAAGGGCGCAACTCAAGCAAGCGACGAACACAGCCAACGAACATGAAGAAAAAAATAAGGAGAATAACAAACTTTGGTGCGAATTTCGGAACAAGGGAAAAAAAAACGGGTCGTGGACAAGCGCCAGGTCGGGAAACACGTTGACGCTTTTCACAACCTCAGGCTCGGGTCTTATCGCAAAACAACTGAGGAAAATGCCTTTGTCAACACGTAATACTCTCCCCCACCCTCGGGGCGAACCGAGTTTTTCTCTTTTTTTCCGGCTTCATCAACCACACAAAAGCCTCCGATTCTCTTCCACATTAAGCTTGCAAACTTCAAGTCACTCAATTCAACCTATTCGCACAGAATTATCTGTTTCCGCATTGCCAAATACCGTATTACGCGATCATAGGCGGCTCTTCGTTTCCAAAAAAAAAAAAATTGTGCCCAAAAACTCGTAGTCTCACACGGGCGGCCTACACTCGAGATCACAATACATAAAAAACGATTCCTAATTCCTTTAGAAAATCAGCATTTCTCGCCACCGTAAAGGTTTCGCATTTTCCTCAGAAATTTTCACTGTTGCGGCCGATTAAATTCATCTCCCTAAAATCATCGTCAAAAATTAGGGTGCGGCCTAAAATCGCGTAAATATGGTACGATAAATTAACAAGTTTTCTAGACTGAAACGAGTCACCAAAAGTGTCAAACCTTTTTGGAAGCGAAACCGGAGACAAACGCATAATCAATAAAAATTCAATTTTGTGCCGATCTCGACTCAGCCGCTATTTACACAGCATTCCCACGAAGAAAAAATCCAAAAACAAACAAACAAACGCGGATCTCACAAAAGCACGACACAAAGACAGAATCAAGGGGGAAAAAAGGATTAAGCGACACCCAAAGGGAAAAAAAGAAGCTCCAATTTCGCCAGCCCATTCTTCTCCCGCTCAGTGATTGATGACCGATTTTGAGAACGAGACCCTCAAGTGGTTCGTCTCCGACAACTGGTGATTATGCATTTTCATGAGCCCCATGACGGCGTCGTCCACACTCGCCAACTCAATCAACGCCATGCGATGGTCGTTGGGGAAGAACTTGAAGTTCTTCACAGTGAATCCATTGCTCTCAAATGCTTCCTTGATCGTGTCCTCTTCGGCAGATGTTGGGATGTTCGACAAATGGAGCGTATGGGACGGGGCATGGATGTTCTGATAGTTCTTGGACCCGGGGCGTTTGAACCGGTGCAGCGGAGAGTTGGAAAAGTCCTTGGTGAGTTCGGCAGCGTCAGTCTGACCTTCCTTCGGCATCTGGACCTGCTGGTGCTTGCTCGACATGACACGAATCGGCTTGCCCCAGACCTGAACCTTGTCCAAGTGGGTCATGGCGAGATGGGCCTGATGCGCGTCGCTCATCTGGATCAACGCCGAGTCCTTCTTGTTGTAGAGGATCTTGACCCGTTGAACGTCGCCGTAGACGCCAAAAAGCGTGAACAAGGCGTCGGGATTAGCCTTTTCCTCGTTAAGGTTGGACACCAACAAGACGTTGTTGCCGCCGTGTAGTGGGTGCGGGCCGGGCATTCCGAGACCCATGCCCAGTGCACCAGGCAGTCCTCCGGGCAGCCCGCCAGCAAGCCCCATTCCTGCTAGGCCCATTCCTCCCAGACCGGCCAGCCCACCGAAACCAACCTATAATAAAAACGAGCGTATGTTTAGTTCAAAGTTACTCTTTACGAAGCACGAATAAATCATCCGTATAACTTACAAGTGTAGATAAAACGAGCAATTCTTTGCACACATTTGACAACGAAACCACTGGAAAAAAATTGGACCTATTTCTGAACAAGGATGTTCCGTGTGCGACTGTAGCTTCAATTGCAGTTACTTTCAAGTCAAATCGACGTTAATTCAATTCTTCGTATTAATACAGGTTCCTTCTACAAAAAATAGTGAATTTTTTGGGAGTAGTGAACATACGATGATGAAACGGGAGTCGAATGAAGGCTGGACGGAGCGAAAGAGGCTGAATAAATCTTGACATCACCCCAACAAGTTTTCGGTGCATGGGAGGAAAAAGCGAATACTGTACAATGAAAAAATATTTTTTAACGCAAATCCCAGCGTGATCATTCAACCGATTCCATCAATGCTGATCAAACAAAAAGTCAAAATAATTTTCTGGATGATGCAGCCAACATCCTTCCCTTTCCCATGCACCAGCCACGAGGCCCCGCCCGAAAATATTCGTATGCCTTCCAGGCACCAAAATTATCGGCTATCCGAATTTGTTAGAACTGTTTTGCAACATGTTTTTCGGACACAAATTCAACACGTATATGTTTGAAACTTTCTAAAATATTCAAATTTCTCGTGTCCGGTCAGCCGCCGGTCGGTCCAACCGCCAGCCAGGGCAGTTCTTGGCCACGCCAATCCCCAGCCCACCAAACTGCGGTTTGGTCACCCGATTGTCGGGGCACCCGAACAATCGGGTGACAAGAATCATGCTGATTTTTTTTTCAGAATATAGGTTAGGTCAGTTTATGTTATGTTAGTTTAGGTTAGGTTAGGTCAGTTTATGTTATGTTAGTTTAGGTTAGGATATGTTAGGTTAAGTTAGATGGGTTTGATGAGTTTTTTCTTTTTGTGAAAATTTTTATAAGATGAAATTTTGTAAAAAAAAATCTGTGGTAGGATACCATTCTGCTCACTGAATTCTGAAAAAAAATCAGCATGATTCTTGTCACCCGATTGTTCGGGTGCCCCAAAATAGATAATTTTTGAGGCTCCAAATTTCTCCTTTTCTTTCAGAAGAATTTTTTCACTTTAAATTCAGTGATATGCATTGAATCTCAGCAAGCGTAGGCTTACAGATAGTAGCACTTTCGAAGGGTGGAGCAACACTTGGCATTTTATAATCCATTTTTCGATATATATTTCAAATAGTGGCAGCTGTCACTATTCGAACAATTATTGAAAATTATAGGGAAGGAACTGACGGATTTAGGAATTGATGAAGAGTCTTTGCGGGACACATGTTGAGCAGCACTGCTGTAATACGAACAACCCGACACCAGCAGAGAGAGGAATAGCCAGACCAACCCCGAAATACGAAGCCATTGCTCCATGCTCACTCAAGGAGCAGAGCGTAAGACCCAAAGACTCTCCCCAAAAGAGCTACAAAGCTGCCAGTAAAGCCCTGCTGTGCCTCTTATTCCTGATCAATGTGGTAAAAAACAATCCAGGGACGTCACCGATACTCGGGACAGGTAATCGCACTTTTCCTCTCCTCACCTGAGAATGATCCATCATGCTCATGTCTCCCGACGGCAGTGAGGGATTCGTGAAGTCCCGGCTTTTGTCGTTATTAAAGCGAACGTTGAGGTTGGACAGCTTAGAGTATTCGATGCGCAGCGTGCAGCACGCATTGTAGATATTCTGTCCGTCCAGGGCCAGCTTCGCCGTCTGCGCGGCCACCACGTCTGGGAACTGGATCAGCGCCTAAAGATAAAAAAAGACGATTCGACGTACGCACACATATCACTTGCTGTCAACCAGAAACCTGAGCCAGATTATTACAAACGCCTCTGAACTTAACCATCCCTCACAATTTTTTCTACACGCTAAAAGTAATTGTACACTGATAGCCAGTATAACGAAGCGATACGCAGATTAAATTTTTGAAAAATTTAATAGAAGAAAAACGATGCCTGTCAAAAAGTTGAACATATCTGCAAGATCCATTTCTCAATTCGATATCATTGATCGGTTACACAATTTTTTCCATAAGTAATGAACTGTAGTAGCAGTTACCGTATTTACAAGGACATCAACATTCATAAAATTTTCTATCGCAATATTAAAATTCAATTAAGATGCGGATAAAAACACCCGATTACTATCCTGGTGTTCTGACTAACGCGAAATTTAAAATTTCCGACTAAATTTAGGTTTTCTCTAGAAAAGGAAAAATGGTGTCACACAACCCTTGCTCTTCCTCTACACTGTCTACAGTCTATGACATTCATCGTTGGCTGCTAAAAGCTGAACAGTTCTTGATTATTTTCATCTTCAATTCCAAATGAAAGAAGAAAATATGTGTTCGACCTTTTTCTGGGCCGCGGAAAAACCCAAATATTCAAATCTAAAAATCAATGAAAGTTGATCTGGATGATCGATTTTCTATTAGGATGGATCAAGTCCATCAGCTTTGACGGAACTTTCTTCAATCCATTTCACGCATTTTTTTTCAGCCATGAAACTCCCCTCACCTGGAAAGTGTTGTTTTTTGTAAAAGTGATGATCTTGAGAACACGACCAACGCGGGAGAAGATCTGATGGAGAACTTCCAAAGTAACGGGATACAGCATGTGCTCGACGATTACTCGAAGAACAGTGTTTGGTCCACCTTGGGTTTCCGGGACTCCACCCGAGTTCAGCGCTTGCGCAGCTTGCAGAGCGGCACGAGCCGCCGCCGTCGAGTTCGAGTGATTTTGATCAGTTTTCAACTCCTAATCAGTGGATTTATTGAATGAATTATCCATCGAATGAAACATAATCTCGGTGAACATCAGAAATTAGGTAACAAGAACCCTGCGCCTAACCACTCAAATAAATTATTTAGCTAATACTGCAGTGTAATTTACACCCAACTTAGCTTGAAGAGATGTCCAATTTTTTAGGAAGGTTGAATCATGTTACTGTATTGTGAACAGGTGGCAAATTATCGCACAATTTTACAAATTTTCCTGCGGAAATTCCAAAACATTGTGAATAAGAAAAAGTATTACACACAAATGTTCAAGAACTCATAGAAGTATGTACAGTAATGAATTGCACAGGTTTAGTAGGAAATTAAACAATTAAGAGGGTAATTTTAGCGTCCACTTTATCTGGACTCCTAGGCAGAAAATAACTGTGCACAAGAAAAACAATACACAATCTACCCTTTTTGGCATGAAAATGAACCCAAAAAGCGAAGAACAAGCACACGCCTTGCAATACTGTGCTACAATGATGGAAAGAACGATAAAATGAGAAGCAAAAAACTATCCTCTTTTGGATTATGAATCAGAATATAATTACAGTATCAAATTAATTTTGAAGTTTCATGAATACTGTAAGCTGTATTCATTCAAGGATCACGTGCAACCTTTTCATCAAAATTGAGAAGAAAAAAGGATGTAAGTGTCATAGGCAGGTATGCATTTTTCAGAAGACTATTATAAGTATAGGCGAGCATTGTAATTGATACACATGGGAAATTTTGGACCAATTTCAATAGAAGAATTTGATAGGGGTACCTTACTTGTGGATACACTTCAGTCAATTTTTTTCTACTGAAAACCCCCGATGCATGTCATACTTAGAGATGCGCAGTACTTGAGTAAATATATGCAATAAATAACTAAGCCTGTTCCAAAATATTGGAAAATATAAATTGCTATACATTTTGGCAATGTCCATATCTTGAGACAACGTCTGGATAACGAGGAAATTGTTAAAAGTTCATGTGTCACTAAGTCAAATCATCCGTATCTCCGGATCCCACTGTATAAAAAATCTGCGGCCTAAGAACGGTATTTTCGAAATCTTCAAAGAAAAAAAAAAACCGACTCCACATACCTTGTGATTGGAGAACTGCACATAGACAGTCCGCCCACGCAATTGGGCCGCAGCAGTCATGAAATAAGTCACCATTTGATTTGCACTCGCCTCGTCCCCAAACTCCAGAAACGCTTGATTCTTTCCTTTCAAAACCAAGACGTTCGTGATCCTGCCAAAGGGCATTCCAAGATGGATCACTTCCGCCTCCGTCACCTCGCTAGGAATGTTGCGAATGTGCACCACTCGCGACGGCCCATTGGCGCCGTCCACCTTCATCTTTTTGGCTTCGTTGTTATTTTCCGAAGAACCCATGTGATTTCCGTACCCGCCGTCCATCATCGCATTCATTGAGCCCATCATTTGGTCTACGCCTCTCTTTAAGCCTGAACTTCCACTGATTCCGCCGTACAGACCACCGATCATGTTACGGCATCAGCCACAGATAAAGCCTACAACACAACATAAAATGATTGAATAGGTAAGTTTACTTCTAGAAAAAAAAAAACCTAGCACCCTTCCAACCTGAGAGCTCTCAATTGAAAAAAAAGCCAACTGCCTATGGCTCTCTTTGGGACTAGCATTGATCCATCACGCATGTATGAATGACAAATCATTCTCTTATTCATCTTCAAACCCTTCAGCTCCCTAAAATTGTGACCAAGATCACTTTCCACGATGCATTGCACTCAGGAATCTATCACTATCATGACTCAATTAATGAGAAAATCTTGAAATTAATCTACATCTCAGCCATACTTCAAAATATGAAGCTTAACTTGCATTTCCTTATGCACTGTACTGCATGCACACACAAACTTGACCATGAAACACATTTTACAATTTCATCGCTCTAACATTCAAAAAGAAAATAATTTGACTTGCGGAGTTTTCTGAGGAATCAGGTTTTTTTTCTATGAAGCATCAATACATTTTCAGGGATGATTTTTTCTTGCTTTGAACTGCTGCCAATCGAGCCAGAAGGACACTGAATTTTTAAATAGCAATGCATTTTCCCCAATAGTAACAAGCTTACACTTGAAAAGCATCAAGTAATACAGGTGATGGACTCCATCTAAAAAAAAAATAAAAATTCGAGGGGCCAAAAAAATATTTTAGAGAACCCCTACAACATGGAATCTTGTCTGCAAATAATTGCAAGCAAGATTGTTGTACAGTCCACCTGTAATTGAATTGCTCTTGGTCTCCAGAACAATAGCAAAAACGCCTCATGAAATGTGAGTCATAGATTTTTCAAGTACTGTATTGGAGGAAGGGGGTCCTGACTACATTCTTCTGCACAGAATTTGAAAATCATACAAGGTGTCCCCAAAATCGTAAACCTCTTCCTCAAAGTTTCCTCTACAACATTCGAAAGTAATACAGGTGTTCATTGATAGAACTGCCTCTTACATCAACACCTCAGCTTATTTAGGGTTACATTTCAATCTCGTGATTGTAGGTTGGATGCCATCAAAAATCTCCTCCGCGCCTTTTTGCGACGTCTAAATCTGGTCGGATAAGTCGTGTGGCAGCTTCAAGATAAATTGAAAATTCAATGGGGAGTGAGACAGAAGTGCCACTTCGCTACAGCTACCGTGAATTAAACAGAAAATCTCTTCAGACAGTCCGTAACAGCCACAGGGCAAAAAACGCGGGTGTGTTTCGTGATGCTCCCTACTTTCTTTCAGCTCTTCTGGGTCCCAAATAGTGGCAACGTCGTATTGGGAAGTTAAAAAAGGAAGAAAAAAATCAAACCAGAGTAGTAAAAGTCCCCGAAGAAGAGACACGTAGCATACCAGGCAGGAAATGAAAGCAATGAAATGAAAGCAACTCCATTCCATGCCATCCGCTGAGTTAGTCAGGACGTGCATCCTGAACTGCATGAAGGACGAAGATGAACCGAAACGAGGAGGAAACAAACGATCTCACCAGGAAGAGAAATGTCTTTAGGAAGACGTGTTTTTCTGGCTTAAAGAAGCAGACGGACAAGTGTCGAGGAAGGGGGACTTCCAAGCAGGCAGGCAGGCGGGGATACACACGAATTTCACCGCGAGAGGTATTAAAAATCGTTTCACAAAGATCCTTTGAGAGAGGAGAGAGAAAAAAAACGTAGGGTGAAACGACGGGTCTAAAAGAAAGAGTAAATGAACACAGAGAAGCTTGGAGAGACTACGAGAGAAGAACCGGAAGATCCGGTCGGACACGGAATTAGCACCTCGTTTCGCCATGATCTCACAAGACACGGCTCACAATCTTCCTTTCAGCTCACAACAGCAAATCCTGCGAACAATTATGCCATAATAATTCGAGTCCACTAAAAAATTCATGAGAATAATGAGAAATGAAAAAAACTTTGAATTTCGCATTCCAAACTCACCAATCGATCGCCAAAATTTGGCGAGGTTCTGCTGGATCACACACACAAAAATAAAAAATACACACACCCTGACTTTCAGTTGAAATTAATTGTGTGAAACGGCAGGAAAGCAGAAAGAAGGCCTGCGAAAGAAAATTCTTCGATTAATGTCATAAAACAAACAGGGTCCAAAAACTTCAGAATGTTCTTCAGTGCAGCATCAAACGGACACTTATTTTAAAGATGCTGGTACTAATGCACAAGAAATTAATCTCATTTTCAGCCAAAATTTATGATAACAACGAAGTGTAATTACTAACTTTCTTCAAAGTGAAATCTTCCTCGTGTATCTTATAGATTTTTTTTGCAGGACTTAGAAGCATGAACATGATAAAATGAAAACGTAAGTTTTAAACGCAGGTTGGATTGTGTGAATAAATTCAGGACGCACCCAGAAAACGAGTGCATTTCTAGGAGAGAAAGGTAATGCAACACCAGCCTCATTTCTTCCGAAATTGATGCCGCAACGAAGCAGTGGAACGAATAAAAACACAATGCTCCACATAAAATGTACGATTTCTTGTGTCGGATTAAGCAAGAGCAGTGTAGCATGATAGAACCGCAGAACAAGCATCTTACGCTAAATTCTTACCTGTTCTGTACCACGACAGAACCCAAAGGAAAACCCCTTTCTCTTTCTCTCTCAGAAAGAAAAAAAAACACTCAACACAAATTCAAGAAGATCTCTAGCTAATGGAATGCAGAAGTCAGATAAGAGGTGTTAAGACAGCTTCTTCAGTGGCGGAGTCCATGCTCGTCGTCTTTCCATTCGTGACTTCATCGGTAGTCGCGGGAACGGGACCTGGAGCGGGACCTGGAATAAGATTTCCGCTTTGGAGAGTAATCAGGGGAGCCACGACGTCGGGGAGAGTACGACCTGCTCCTCGAACGACGTCCTCCATAGCTGCCACTCCTGCGGGCTCCACTGTCTTCTTTAATCCTGATGTACGCAGTGTCACCCTGAAAAAATAATTGAAAACATATGGCGTCACGAATAATGCATCACTTCAAGCGTTTGTATAATTAAACGGGGTTTCACGCGCGGCTGGACCCAGAAAACCGAATAAGTAAAAACGAGTCCGAAGAAAGCAAGGGCAACATCTTACGCCAGGAAAACGAAAGGAAATCAGAGGAACCCTCAGGACAAAATTAATTTGAAGGAACTTACTTCGTGGGACTTGAATTTAGAGTCATCCAGCTTCCTGATAGCGTATTTCATGTCATCTTCGCGCAAGAATTCCACAACGCCGGTCCCGTCACGATCCACATCAGCGTAACACACTTCTCCAGCTTCGCGCATGTGATCTTTTAGATCTTGCCAACTGCCAGTCGACGGAAGGCCTGAACATTCGGAAGAAGAACGCTTGAAAATACGAATAAATCCTGCACAAAAAGAGTGATCAATAGACAAACCTGTGACGAGTACACGGTACGGCGTGCGCTTCGCCGGCGGACCTCGCCCTCGTCCGCCATCCCGACGTCCTCCGGGTCCACGAGCGGTGCCGCGGGGGAACTCGACACGGAGTTTGTAACCGTCGTAGTCGTAGCCATCTCTCGCATGAACAGCGTCTTCGCAATCCCTATTCAACCCCAAATCCGTATCGAACGATCCACGGCGGGGGGTTCATAGAAAATAATCGTTTTTAATCTAACCAAAAAACAAAGTGTCCACAAGATCCTAATCCTCGTCATGTTCCTTTTCCTGTCTCTTCTGAAATAAAAAGTCAGTCTGGATAGCCTTCATCCCATTCCGCGAGTACAGCACCAGCCGGCCATCAGATTGAGTCCTATCCTCGAGAAATTCCTTCCTCAATCCATCCAAGAATCCTTCCTCAGTTCCCCAACTATGACCGGCGGCGAGTTCCATAGAAACCTCGGCAACCGATTATTTTCTACGCGATCAAATGTAACACTGGACGTGATCCAAACGGTTCCCGGACTTGAAATGCGGTACATCGGAAAGAGTGGGATATGGCAAGAAAGAGAGAATAGAATCGTGTGAAAAATGGCGCAATTTCACACGCGATTCGGAAGAAACCACTAGCGTGTCTGCCTCACGAATTCAACCAAATATCTCAGCCTAACCCTGGTAATCGACTCACCGTGAATCCTCGAATTCGACGAAGGCGAAGGGCGGCCCGCGCTTGTTCTTCAAATCCACCAACACGATTTTCCCGAACTTGTAGAAAATATCTTCGATGTCCTTCTCCCTGATATCCGGCGGCAAGTTACCCACGTAGATTCGGCACTCGTTTCGACCCCCAGACATTTTGCTACACGACTGCTCGAAGTTCGCGACACAAACGTTCAACTCCGCACTTCAGTACCGAATTTTAGTTCGTCGGTATTCAATTGTCCTGGCGGGGAAATTTCGGACTCGCAATTATGGCCGATACGAACGCAGTACACGTTCAGGGGTTGCCAAATCGTACTGTTAAACGCGTTGTCAAACAAAAACCTCTCAAAAATTGTACAATAAGATAAATGCAAAAACTTTTGAAAATATTGCATTCGCAATTAGGTTAATTCAAGCATGAAGTTCTATTCGGCTTTCTTGGAGTGAAAATTAAATCATCTGACAAGTCAACGCAGGGTAGAGCCACGCTAACGCACCCTTGGATCAGAGAACAACACTTTATTGTTAGGGCTCCGCAACGTACCGACTCCATGTTGTTTGATATTGTTCAAAATTGATGCGGTTCTCGAATGGTAGACTGCGTTAGGGTGAACGAAAATTACATTCAGGTCGGGGGTTGCGTCGATAATAAGCATGGTTCAGCCGTATATCGACTACATTAGTTCACTTCGAACGAACGGTAATTTTTGTTATTACCAGTCATACAGCATTAAGGCGGGTTCCCACTTACTTCTGTCGATGGAAGCTGAAAGTCATGTACAGTACAGTTCTGCCGAAATGTTGAACGTCTCAATAGCCAACAGGGGTGATCAAGATCAATTCATTTCAGTAACCCGCGTCAGATCCAATCAGCCCCAGGGCGGTTCCAAATATTTCGGGGCCTTATTTGACGATCCCGGGGTAAATTAGATCGTTTCTGCGTTCAATATGGTACGCGTAAGCAATGGATTCACGCTATCCAGAAAATTTTTTTGGACTGGTCACAGTTCAAAGAATGCGAAATTCTATGTTACAGGTTACAGAAAATAATCCTGTTATACGGGGACTAATGATGCTCCAACCAGTCATCGTACCATAGTTGCAGCGAAAATAGTTTTAAAGCAACGTACCGGTATTTCAAAAATGCGTCCGGCTGCGATCAGACGTCGAACAACAGAATTCGTCGACGAAATTGAAACTGTATTCGACATTGATTGTGTTGAACTGCCTTTTGCAGTACATCTTAATGAATACACAACTAAGTACATTCGGCTTTGCGCAGAGAAATGCGTTCCGAATCAAGTATAAATCATAACGAATGAAAATTCCAAAAGTTGAAGGAATCCAAGCGGTGACACATAAGCTTCAAAGAAAATCCAACTCCGCATTGAATTTTTTCAGCGGTCATCCTTCCAGAAAATAAAAGCTGAAGATAATCTGCAAATTTCGGCAGGATCCTCTGCCGCTTCCAAGCTTTCTCCGAGCGTGACGTGTTTCGAGCAGCATTTCAATGCAAATAATGTACGGCATCGAACTTACTTAGTCTTCCGCATGAAAAACGGAAGTTCAGGTCTATGCGTTCTTATCACTTCCACGGCGGGGAACGCAGGGTCTGGAACCATTCATAATAAAGAGGGCAAAAGTACGTACCACATATCATACAGTAGAACCACAGAAAAAACGAGAAAGCTACTCATACAGACAAGACGCGGATACATTAAAGAATCCGAGATTTGTTCGGGGATTCGACACCAGACACGATTGATAAAAAACTTCGAATATATCCATAATTAAGGTAATTAACGGTAAGGTCTCTTGATAGTCTTGACCTTAAAAAAAAATTTCCGATCAGGCCGAGTACTGCTGTATTGTGCGGGCCAGTAATTTTTTACGCGAATAGGATGTGTCTCGCAAGGAGATGTTGGAAAAAAAAGTGCAAAAATAAACGTGTTAAAATACTGCATATCAAAGAAGAGCCAACAGCAGTTATACTGTAGATGCAATATTTTATCCTACAGATTTTTTTTTTCTTTGCTCAGACAGACTTATTGATAAAATTAAAAACAGGTAGTGAGCGAAAACCGAAGAATTGAAGAAATTCCATCGAGCGACTACCCTAACCGTGCCTGCGAACTCATCGGATATTCGCACGTGGAAAACTTTTCGATTGTAATTTCACGGAAGGTTTAGATTTCAATTTAGTGGATTTGGCACACTAAATTGGGGTTTAAAAAGTTGATTTTATACTAATTAGGCTCTGTAAGGTATATTTGAGAGCCAACCTTATTACAGTTCTTCGCGGAGGGAACATTTCTTGATTGCTTCTTAGGGTCAGACAGGTCGGTCACCTACTACGGCGTAAAAAAGCACATTTCGTCGGTCCAGTTATACATACTTGGCATCCGGAAGAACATTCCGCAGAACGGCTGGAGAAGAGCGAAGGACAAGAAATGTCAGAAATAAACAAAGACGGAGCAATTCTGGGGTCTTCCTTTGGCTTTACTGTAAGACCTACAAATTCGTAATCCGCTCCTTATGGAGTCAACCCCGCTATTCCCATTCCCACATAAACGTCAGGCGAGTTACAACTGAAGAAGACCTGCTCGGAACATAAACAGGTGCGATTGCACTGAGAAGGAACTCGGAACTTGTTGTCAAAAAGGAAGTCCAGCTTCCCTAGGTCCGTTCGGAATCAAAACAGGAAAGTCTTGATCTCGTCGTACAACACCAACACGAGGGCGCCGCCAGTTCCTCGGAGTACGTTGGAGAACGCGCCCTTGAAGAAGGCGTTGGTACCTTCTTGTTGAGCGATCTTGCGCCAGCAATCTATTGTTCCGGTGTACATGATGTCAGCTCCCTTGCGACCAGACTGCATCATCATGCGTCTTCGTACCGTGTCGAATGGGTATGACATGATGCCAGCAACAGTTGTCACCACCTATTCAAAAGAACCAAAATTAGGAATTATGTGCCAAAATTCGTATTTTTTTCTGAAAACGAAGTTGATTTACATCCTACCCCAGCTTTTTGCATTGAAATTCGACGTACAAGTATTGAAATGCGAGTGAACTTATTCCCACAGAAATTGTACATTATAAAACAAAGTTTTACAAGTGATTATGAATCAATATAGCGACCCGAAGCAGTCTTTTTATTACGTTTATCATCAACAAGCGTAGCATGTGAAAATTATTTTAAGGAACAACAACAAAAAAGCGTCCAAATACCAAACCCCCGGTGTTAATAGTTGCAACTTTTATTTCCGAGTACACAATCTTTTGTGCAATACAGGATTGCGATATCTACAATATCCATTTACTCACCTGGGCAATGGCCCATGAAACCAAGAATGGAGTCTTCTTGGGATCCGGCAACATGCCCCTGGCAGTGTCGTAGAATCCGAAGTAAGCCGCACGATAGATGATGATGCCCTGAACGGACACGTTGAACCCACGGTACAATCCGACGAGTCCATCGCTCTTGAATGTCTTTGACAAGCAATCACCCAGACCATTGAATTCTCGTTGAGCGGCTCCCTTACCGACGTCAGCTCCCAACCTGTCACAGAATTAGAGCCTTCGTCAAAACTTGGACGAAACAAATTTGCATTCGAATCTTTCACGACAATCCTTTATCAAGAATTGTGTGGATATCTGTTCAGTTTACTCGATTTCTGTTCGCGATGTTATAAATAGTGATTCTAACATTATCCCAGCTTTCGGCAAAAATTTTCGGTTTGTCGCACTGCTTTTTGCATATGCATACTTGGAACCGATCCTTCCGTGGATACGTCGGCAAAGTCTATTAAACATTACATAATTTGTCTTGTTTCTGTTCGGTAATAACCATATCCTGTACTTTAATTAGTGTCAACCAAGGGGATCAAATCCTGCAGCATGGGTTTTACATGGTTCGCCAAGAGCTCAGATTCATCAAACGCACAATATGAAACATTTTTTTCGAAGAATTATTCGACATAATCCCTTAATTATAGGAATTCCCGCAATTTCAAATGTGCGTTCACAAGGAAAATGAAACCGAGAAGGAGGCGGTTGAGGCAAAAAATCCGCAGGATACCCTTCTCTTCCGCAAAAAATGTAGTCAAACCTCGATAAGCCGCCACCATTTGATTGAGAGAACTGTGGCGGTTCAACGGGATCGGTAGCTTACAAAAACTCTAACAATATAAAAATCAAGTATAGGAAATAAAATTGTCATTCTTCTGGACTGCAATCGAAATGATCCGGGGTGCCTAAATTATACCTAGCCAATTTTTCGAAGAAGTATATTGTGTCATCTAGAGTTGGTGTTTTTCTTTTTTTTTTTTTTTAATTGGAGACCTCTCACAGAAACTTGCACCTTGGTGAGCTTTCAAAGACTAATGAATTGACACGAGCATATCTGAGTTAATAATTTTTGACGGATGGCGTTATAACGGGGTTTGCAGTGGTACTGCATCAGCATTAGGGAAGCATTTTTTCATGAACTGGCAGTTGTCGAGGGTGGCGGTTTATTGGTAGGCGTCTCAACGGGGTTTGACGTTAGTAATTCTGACAACCGAATACCCAGAGACTTCTAGATAATCAAGTTTTACAGAGAAAAAAATGAATGAAAATTCTAGCTAGTCAGGCACCTTGTTCGGGCGTAGTCGAGGGGGTACACGAAGCAGAGGGAGGTTGCTCCGGCGGCACCACCAGAAGCGAGATTACCAGCGAAGTAGCGCCAGAACTGCGTCTTCTTATCCACTCCTCCCAAGAAAACCTGCTTGTATTTGTCCTTGAAGGCGAAGTTCAGTGCCTGAGTGGGGAAATACCGGATCACATTGGCCAAGTTTCCGCGCCAGTAGCTGAGAAATCCTTGTTCTTTCGGGATCCGCACAAAAGCGTCCACGATACCTATTCGAACAGAAAAAGCAATACAGTAGTACCAGCCTAAAATCTCTCACGTCCATGTTGCCTGAAAATTCATACGAACTCTTGAATGAAATAAAAAATATACAATACTGTACCAAGAAATGTTGAAACCCCGAAATTTTCACAATGGAATAATGAAGCGAAACTGCTTGAAAATCGGTTAAACTGGATCAATTTTCGCCTTCAATTCACGCAGGAAGAGAAAACCCGACATCATCCTGAACCGAAGAGAAAGTTCACGGTTCCAAAAAATATCCAAAGGGTTCTGCCCGAATAATCCCGATCATCAACTTCGAAAGCAGAAATTCAATAATAGAACTTAATTTCCGTTCCGGCCGAACGTTAGAAGAAAACGTAAATTTTTTCCTCGGAATTTCCACGATTGATCGATTCGAGAGAAATCAATAAACGCATAAAAAAACACCAAGATCATCAATTTCCATTTGCGTGGAGTCGTAACAGGAACGTCGAATTCCGACCGCCACCAGATTTTTTTCCTTTTTCAGTCCTTCCTGCCTAAAATGTCGTAGTACAACTTTGTAAACTCTCGAAGGATCCTGCAGCATCACTCTAAAAAGAGGAAGTTTAACACGTCTGATCGCTCGGAAGTTATTCAAATTCAAATATAATTAACCAATTACAATCGTACACAATCCTTTTCAGCCCTCATGATAAAGCCCTCAGAAACTTCGATTAGGGTACATGTTATTAAAATACGCATTGGAATACCCATGCAGTTCAAACGATTGAAATTACATTTTTCTTTCAAGAGGATTAAATGTGCTTTTATCTGAAGCTATTTCTTTCAGCATCGCAATATAAATGCTTAAAATTTTGCAATCCGAAAATTTGCTAGACCACCCTTTGGAATAATCAACAGATATGGCTGAGTTCAAGATCAAAATACACTTTCGTGATGATATCAGCAAAACAAGTCGGATAATGCCAGTAACCCTCTTCTGTGACAATCATCGAAGCGGATGAATGAAATTCTCATCTAATACAGTACAGTAATTGGAAACATAAATCGAGTATTTTCTTAGACTTGGACAAGATATAAATAATCATGATCCGCTACTTCTCCATTATCCTCTTCTACACTCAACATCCAATATGTTCGGATCGTGGGATAACAAAAAAATTAAATCGATATCACTTCATCAATAGGTAAGTTGATTTTATTCCAAATCCCATCTCAGTCTTTCCAGAGAACTAAGTCGCAGAGATCTTCTGAAAGAACAAATTCGCATGAAAGATCCGCGCAACAAAAAATCCGCAGAAGAAATTTTCGAAAGAAAAAGGTGACTCGCGTAACAGAATGGTTTCGCATAATGCACGTTCAGGCAAAAACACCTAAAATCGGGCAAAATCTATGAAACTTGAAAAAAATCGAGGAAAGTGACAAAAGCAAGGCTTGATTTTGCCGCTTCTTTAGTTAAATTCAGAAAGTTCAACTGAATTTAAATTTTGACAATTCAATTCGCAAATTTAACAACTCAATAATTGTATGCCGAAAACTAAGGAAAATACAGTTTTCTGGGTTGACTATGGTCTTCTGACGAGCGTTTGGAACAAATTAAATTGCTCATAATGTAACCCTTGAGGGTAATCGCGTTTCGCAGAACGAAAATTCGACACAACGAAACGCATTTGGGAAAGAATGCTTTTATGCGGTAACCATTTGCGAACTGAACAAAAGAGGCAACAGTGTAACGAATGAATACAAACTTCAAATTAACTTTAAAAAAAATGAAACAAAACCGCACCTTTGTACTGCTGATCCTTGGAAAGCTGTTTAGAAGCATGCTGAACTTGAAGCAGAAGCTTGACTCGTTCAATGGGAGCAACGGAAGTCTTGGAAATGGCTGCGGCAACGCCTCCAGCAACAAAATCCTTGGCAAAAGCAACGGGATCCATCATAGACGACGACATGATTCCTCTGCGTCACTGGAGCTTTAACTTGTTTCACTCGTTAATTAAGAAGAAATGATAACCCTCTCACAAAGCACGCTAAAAAAAAGAGGAGCGGACCGAGAACTAACCGGAGGACCTGCGAACAAAATTGGCAAAGACAACAAGTTTCTCATCAACGCAACGGTCTCAAGAGGCGACTTCGAAGGAAAGTCACTCACATACGCGATCGAAAAATACACTTTTTCACACAGTTCACGGTTGAGAAATGATCCCGCCACTGACCCCCAGGAAAACACAGCACCCAATCCACAGACGACCGCGCACTTGGTTGTTCGCAACAATTTTCACCAGACGTCCGGTCGTCCACTTCCGCAAACGTGACTCCTCTCAATAATCTCGCGATCGGGAATAGGAACGAGACCTTCAAGTCGAAAGATTTCATTTTAGAATATCGCTAGACTAGGACGAATGTCATTTTCAAATTTTGAATTTTAAATTACTGTACATCCATACCGTACTTCAAATCCAAATTATAGACATTTCACCATAGATGCATGAAACTGATCAGAATTCAATTTACAAGTATTTTTCTTCGAACGACAAACCTGCTTCTGGAACGCCGGCCTCGACGAGCTCGATCTTGCTCCACACGGATATACGACGAGCTTCCCTTGATTTCCGAAACATGAAAGTTCACAAAATAAAATCGCGAAAATCGTTTACAGTCGAACCTCTTGAGACGATTTCAAGGATTAGCAAAAAAGAATCGAGTCAGGGACGTTTCTATCTGGGACAAGAATTGTTGGGGGGGGGGGGGGGGGGGGGGGGGGGGGGGGGNGGGGGGGGGGGGGGGGGGGGGGGGGGGGGGTGGGGGGGGGGGGGCAGGAAATTGTCAATGTTATTATTCTGGGGCTTCGGGCCTCAAATTCATTTTTGCTTGAGGTGACAGGATGCAGAAGTTGAAGGCAACCGTTTATTTGCCCAATACGTAGTCTTTCACTTCCTTTAAAAAAAAACCAGGTTAACTTGCAGATATATTTTCTTATCCCTGTATAAATAGTACAGTATACATATTAGCCAAAAGGCTCCAGAAAATTCGAATATTGGAGGTTTTCAATATACTGTTTCTGAGGAAATGAATCAGACAGGGACATACGTGTCCAACTTGAAATTTATAAAAAGTTCAGACCAAAATTTACTTTTCCAAAATCTGTCACACTTCTGATGGTCGCTCACGAAGTTTCAGCAGCAATAAAAGCCAGAATCGTCAAAAACTGAGATAAAGTATCAGTAATTTGAAGTCCTATGAGTGAGCTTCATACTGGGAAACACGGTTGTCCTGAACTTGACGTGCCATTTCAGTTAACAAAAAAAAAATTATTAGTCACAGATTCTCAGCAAATTTTTCTTCCTTCTCTGAAAAGCCGTGCGCTCCAAAATTCGTTCCACACTTCATTCAAAACGCACTGCATGATATTCAACACGTGCTTGTCACCTGGTCATCTCGAACCAACTAAACTTCACATCCCAAGATGGAATAATTTACAAGTTACGTAACAAAAACTAGCCTACAAAAATTCAGGGTCAAGCCGACATGTGGGAGAAACCGAAGGTGGATAGGCTGTCATTGTGTGCTACAAAAGGACGCCCCCCTGTCCTGCTCAAAAAAAAAGAAAGCAGGCATCTTTCTTTCTTTCTTGGACCCAAACAAAGGTTAGGTCAGTTGAGAGGGGCCAAGTCTGTTCTTCCCATTCCATCCAAGAGACGTGTTTTCTTTTTTTTCAGGGTTCAAGGCTGGCTGAATAAAAGAATACTTGGCATGCGCTCACCGAGAAGGACCTGAACTTAGAGTCGTCAAACTTTTTGATAGCGTACAACATGTCATCTTCGCGCAGGAATTCCACCACTCCGATCCCGTCACGATCCACATCCGCGTAACACACTTCCCCAGCGTCGCGCATATGGTCCTTCAAGTCCTGCCAGCTCGCCGACGATGGCAAGCCTGAAATAAAAACTTGGGTCACGTGACGAGAGTGACTTCACTGAGGAAGGTCACACACAGTTCATCCTACCGATTCTGCTCTCCGAACTATCTCGCGGCGCGGAAAAAAGAAAAAAATTCAACAACACCAATAATCATGTCCTAAACTGCTCCTGCTTGAATTTTGATTCTTCTTCGCGGAATAAGGTGCGGGAAAATTTTCTGCACGTTTAAAATGAAGAACGGCTTTGAAAAAGAGACGAAACGAAAAATTCTAAAAAACCTGCAATCCCGTTTTTGATAACTCTAAATTTCGATCTGTCACTCGTGCTGAAATTTTGATTCATTCACACACAAGAAGTGGAATTCATCCAGTACTTAAAGTTAAGTAAACCGCTTTACTGTAATTCTCTTACGTCTGATTGCTTATACATGGGGGAAAATTCCGTTCCAAATTGTGCGAGATTGTCAGTACAGTATTAATCCAGAGGGAACTCCCTCTCTCTCTCTCTTTACCATTTTCTCTGCATGACACATGGGCTTGTAGCCGTTCTCTCTACCGGTTAGGAGGTCTCTCTAAAAAAAAAGTTCTCTCTACAACGAATTTTTTCTAGTCCCTTGAATTCGTTGAAGAGAGTTAACCTGCAGACCATTTCGGGTTATCTTGACTTTTCCCCGTATAGACTGCAATTTTTTAATAAAGCAGTGCGACATTTCATTACATGGGAAAAGGCATCCCATCATTAGTCGGGATAATCGAAGCTCTAATGATTCATTTTCCGAAGTTTAAATTTCTACGACGTATTTTAGACGTTTTTTCAACTCTTACATTAGCCACCGATACTCAAGAGTAATACAAATAACACAAAAATCGACGGTAAAATACGAACCGTGGCACTGAAAGTTTCCGACGAATTGCTTTAACCTTCCACAGCGATGAAATTAATTTTTCACCGGATTCGTAATCAAGCCAACATTTTAAACTTATCTTTTCGAGTTTCAGAATTTTTGTTCCGACGGCATTTTCAAAGAATAAATTGCTTTTAAATAACACTTGCAATAATATTAAGGTAAAAGACGAACCCTGCCTTTTTTTTTAGCGTATTTATCGAGTGTCAATTTTTGTTCTGACGGCATTTTTCAGAATACTGATCGTGTCGCACGAACAATTAATAGAATGAAAACCAAGGAACTCCACGAATTGAAAAAAGAGAACTAACCAGTGACTCGTACACGAAATTGGGTACGTTTCGCAGGAGGACCCCGACGTCGGTTCCTATCCGTGCCACGCGGGAATTCTACACGGAGGCGGTAGCCGTCGAACTCGAACCCGTCCCGGGCTCTGATCGCATCCTGGCAATCCCTTTTCCGGGACAACATAAACAACACACTTCATGCACCAGCCTCTTCACAAACAAGCATTTTATTTGTCTGCACTGCGGCATCTGGAAGGAGCTCCTCGGATTTCTCACCGAGGCAGCAGAGGGGCTCACTCTCCTCAGATTGGGGGATCCAAAAGTTTAAAATGGCTTGAGTGGAAACTTCAAGTGAATAATTCGGCGTTGGTTCAATGTCAGGTTAGTCCCCTTTACCGAACAAACTCAACCCAATGATTGAATAAAACAGCCTAATACAATACTGTAGTTGAATGAACAGCTTAATCCAATGACTGAATAAAACAGCCTGATCCAATGACTGAATAAAACAGCCTAATCCAATTACTGAATAAAACGGGCTAACACCAATCTCTCACCAACTAGAATAACCGAATGACTTACAAACTAGACAACCAATGATCTACTAACTTGCCTAATCCAATGCCTTACTATATACCTAACTTGCCTAAACGAATGACTTACCAACTACTTAACTAGCCTAAACCAATGACCAACTAGTTAACTAGCCTAAACCAATGACCAACTAGTTAACTAGCCTAAACCATACCAACTACTTAACTAGCCTAAACCAATGACTTACTGAATACTCAACAAGCATAAACCAATGACTTCATAACTAGGATAACCCAATGACTAACTGAATAGCCTGACCCGATGACCAACTGAATAGCCTAACCCAATGTCTAACTGAATAGCCTAACCAAATGACTGACTGAATAGCCTAACCCAATGACTCAACAACCAAACCAAGCTGATGAAACCTCAACTAAATTAAAGAATCCCTAAAAATCCGCAAGAAAACCTAACTTTAGTACAGTAGTTTAGTGAATGAAAAATTTGATCTGACGCACTCACAGATAACCTAAACATAGTGACAAGACAAGTGAATTAACCACATGAATAGTTAATTCACCAGATGTGTGAACTAACCGGGCCTACCCACAAAGAAAACACAGATTAATTAACAAAACAACAAAAACTCGATACAAAACATGACGTCAAACTCTCCTGATTTTTCCCGAAGTACACTTAAAGTTACACAAATGGACCCTCTCATGAACTAAGCATAAGAACTACGAGAATCTTCCTAGAAGTTTTTCCAGAGGGGCTGACGTATGTTAGGAAAGTGACCTCTGTCCCAGGCAACTCAGATACACTAGGGACAAAATTGTTCGCGTCTGAAACCCACAACCCAAAGGTTGCATTGATCGGATCGAACAACTGTCCCCTCACGAATACGGAACGGAGAGTGAACGTGTGAAACACGAACATGCGGAGAAATTCGACTCCAGCAAAAACGGAACTTATCCCGATAAGATTTTTTAGAATCACGCCCAGAAGTTCCAGCTACTTTACTCTGAATCATCAATAAAAATCCACTGCGCACAAATGACCACTATCACGCACTATCTCACGCTCTTCGTGAGAAGTTGAAAAAAAGATTGATCAAAAATTAATTTTCGATTGTAATCGACATGTGGTATCATCGTGAACCTCTACAATAGAAAGTCGGAAGCGCCAAAGCGATGCATCCCATTCACTCTCAATTGAAGTGAAGACGCGCACAATCCACATTGTCATTTATGAAAAAAAAAAATTACACTAGTCCTCAACCGATCACAAGAGAACTTAGAGAAGATTACATAAACGACACGTTTCCCCAGTGATGTACCATTGCTTGCAGATTTACGAAGAGTACCACAGGATCATTTGAAACTTTTGGGGTTCCTTGAAGAAACGGAACTTTAAAAAAAACGACAAGTGACAGAATGGAGTGAACGATCTGGCAACCCCGTCAGCCCCATCACAAGATGGAGTCGCGCGTCGAAGCACCCCGTACGCATTTAAGGGCTTCCCCAGTGGAATACAGTACTCACCTCTGTCATGCAGTCAATTGATACGAACAATAAGCACTCTTAAAAAAATAATAATAAATGGCGGATGCGAAGAAAAAATCAATCGGTCCACGAAATACTCGCTTTGTCGTCCGTGCTTCCCTGGAAATCATTGCAATCCAGTAGGTATCCAAATTTTTGTATCATCAAAAATCTTTCCAAAACCGTGTCAAGTTTTACCAGTTAGGCATAAATTAATAGGACTCTCTCTACAACAAATTGTTCTCTAGTCCCATAGGGTTCTATCCCCAGGTTGTGTGGTCCTCTATTACAAAATTATTTCCAAAACAATTTTTTCTGGTCCCTTGAATTTCGTTCCAGAGAGTCCACCTGTAATACATGTTCCCATTTTGTTTTATTTCCAGTACCGGGAGAAAAATTGTATCAACCGTGTTGAATTACGTCCGAAATTTGAGACGACTGAGTTTTTCTGATTACATAACTTCAAAGGGGAAGGAACATACCTATAATCCTCAAATTCGATGAATGCAAAGGGAGGCCCTCGCTTGTTTTTCAGGTTCAAGAACAAAATCTTTCCATATTTGACGAACAGGTCCTCGATGTCACGCTCTCGTATGTCTGGAGGAAGGTTTCCAACATAAATCCGGTTGTCAGTTCGAGCACTCATTTCCAACCCAAACAAAATCTATAAACCTTCTTCACAAAACAACAATCTGTGAAAAGATAAGAAACGGGAACAAAAATTTAGGAAAAAAATCGACCGTGAACATAATCGCATCAAGAACAGCGAGATTTTCGACATTTCTATACTCTGTCTTTGTTCAAAATATGAATTCCTGCAATAAAACAAAATCGTTCAGCACCCACAAAATTTTGATGCAGTCGCGCTGCTTCCAAAATCCCGGCGTTCATTCAAAAAAAACATCGCTTTCGTAAATTGACATTCCCCAAATTGGTTGGTCCATTGACCCTGGAACGTGCGGCACATACGCGAATCAACAAAATCCTCTTACCAAGAATACTCTATGGATTTCTTCAAAGATCCAAAGCCACTGGATGACCAGTGCTGAGCAAAACATAACCTAGATCAGGTCGATGCGCTATAGATTATTTAAACTCTGAGCAAGTGAGACATGCTCAACAGTTATACAGTAATAACAAAACTCAGTCGTTCGGGAATCTCTGTATCGAAAAACTGGAAACTATAACGAACAAATCTCTTCAAATTTTCTGTCTCCCGGCACAGAAAATTACAAAAGCCAAGCAGTGAGATTGCTGAAAGAAAGGATCAAACCGTACGTTCATATGAGAAGCCGAAGAAAATTGACCAGTTTTCAATAGATTGAAATTCCACCCGAGAAACGCGCACTGAATCAACTCAACACTTGTCCTCAAGAATGGAATGAAACAAAAAAGCTCGAAAATAAATAAGGATACCCAGAAATACGAAACATCAGTCGTAAGAATAGACCCTTCAACTAAGTGATTTAAGATTAACAAATCGCTTCGCCGAATGTGGACTTTAACATAGTTTTTCCGCAAAACCACGCGGGCAGGAGTTGAACAATGTTTAACCTCCGGAATACACAGGAAGTCGATTCCGGGGATCAAAAATTATTCCACTGAACGAGAACTAGACAGTTTTCTGTCGCAGAAATTGCATCGCGGTATTGTTTCCCAAGCGGCAAAACGATCGGGAAAAATCTGTAGAAAAAAAAAAGAGATTTTCGTTGCATGAACACGTAATCGGGAAGCTGGGCACTAAAAAAAATTTAACGAAGTCCGGAAAACAAAATTCTTCAACAATCTTTCCTCAGGCTTTCTCACAATCACGCGACTGGTAAAATAGAATGTATCCCGTCTCAGACGACTTCTGAATATCCGACGTTAGCCCGTAGAACTCCTCAATCGCAGACGCCTCTATCTTCTCCACCAGGTCGTCGTCGAACAACAGCCACAATCCATGGGATTTCACAATGGAAATGTAATGGCCACGGTTCGGGCCACTGCCACAATGCACCACAACCGCTACCAGATCGTACATTCTCGACGGATTCAAGGCATCCTCGCTCTGCAATATCCCAAAACACACCGAATTCACGCAATTACACGCCGAACTCTGTTTTCCGCAGTCAGCATAGGTTCCACGCGAATTTCGGGAAGCAATTACAAGAGGGGAAACCGGAAAAGCCGCAAATTAATTTTAAACTTTTAAAAAGAAATGCGGCGTATGCACAGAAAAAATCCTTCAGATATGTTCTCACACGTCAAGAATAAGAGGGATTCTCCCGTACAAATGAAATTAAAAAACGCAGTAATTTAGTTTGAAATACTCTCGATGAAAAATAGTCTCGTGAGAATACATTCAGACCAATACATTTTGATATCTCGTATATAGGCCGCCTAAGAGTTTTTCGGGGTATTTCGTTGTTACATGAATAGTTTTACCAATCCGCGGAAAAATACGCATTCGAGGGCCGAAAACAGTTCTTCGAATTCTGAAGAGGGAAAAAACCTCGCAACAATAACAATCAGCGCATTTGGTTTCCGAAATATCACAAGAATTTTAATATTGTAGTATTGCACTAAGACTGCATGGATTTATTAAAAGAAAGAAAGAAAAAAAGCCCAAGAAAACCGGAAAAACCCGCCTTGAAAAAATCTTGAGGATACGCCTTATATCAATTCAGCTGATCAAAAATTCCGGGCACTAACCAAGCCAGGGGTTATCAAATTTTTTGAAGCGTTGCCTAGGCAACCTCCAGCTTGCGAAGCCCATCTTATCTGTTTAATATTCATATTGAAGCCAGCCATCCCAAGACATGAACATTTTTTGTGCATTTTACACCTTTCTTCATCCAGCTCGTGGGTCAGAGCGCCCGTAAGTTTTTTGACTATACTTCATTTGAAATGTAGTGAAAAATATTTGTATTGTACTACTGTATATAGTATTCGGGTAGAATATCGTTCTTCGTGTGAGGGGTGGCTCAAAAGTTTTTCCAGAACCTTTAAACTGAGTTTCGAGGACTCGACTTTCTAAAGATTGCCAAGACTCGAGCTATACTCAAGCTTCAAGAATTTCACACCATTTTTGACCTGCATAACACAAATTCATGCTCGACAATCAACATTGTACGAAAAAAATTTCGAAGATACGATGTTATTCTATTACTCGAAACAATTTTTATCATACTGTATTACTTTAGGTCTCGGACATTGCATCAAGGAGATTTTTCAGCTCTTATAGAATATTTGGTAACGCTTAATTCATGAACATGCAAGTGTGGCAAGTAAATCTTATTACCTCGCAGTGATGGGGTGCACTTTCACCTTGGTGTCTTCTCTCCATTTCAACCTGGATAACCAAAAAAATTACTCCGTAAAAATTACGTCCATTTCCTTTCATTCAATAAGGGAAACACAAGAAAATCTTATGAACCAACCCTCGAATTTCAGAGGTTCAACTCATCAGCTGAAAGAGTGCACGAGAAATTTTCACTAAAGCACGCCGTTCTACAAGTCGACAACTAAATGCCAACATACAGTAATTGATGTTCAGTACGTTTTTTTTCCGAAAGAAAAAAAAAATTGAATCAGGCGAGACAAAATTACTTCAACAATCATCATGTTTACGTGAGCAAGAGGCATCGATACTACGCCAATTTTTCTCCTTCCGTTCAGGGAAGGGGGAGGGGAGGGCGGTATCTTAAAAAACCGAAAATAACATCTTTCAGCACGTCCAACCTAACCTAACGTCACTCTAAGCTCGCGAATTCCCTTTCGCAGAATACTTTTTTCATCAGATTTTGGATTATGCCTCGTACACGAACAGTACTGTTGGTGTACTGTAGAGGACTCTCGCTTCTGTGGAACTCGTCGGTCCTCACCAACGAAATACGCAAATGAGAAACCGGTATTTGCTTGTGCGTCTCGTGACCCGACCTCATTTGATAATCTAGATAGAATAACCCGAATACAGTACATATTTCCGGAAGCACTTAAAGCAGACGAACTGGGGATGCTGGTTGATTCCCAAAAAAATACCGAACGGTGGGCGTAAGTAATTCAAGTCTCAAATTTTTCACCCAAGTTTCAAACTCAAACCCAACCTGGACATCCTCTTAACCGGAATACATTTAGACTACGAAGAAAGTTCATGACGTTTTCCGAATCGAAGAAAACATTAACCACTAGGAAATCATCACCATGGCAACCTCGGAATAAAAAAACAAGATTGTGCATAATACAGTATTTGTGAGGTCGAAACTGAAATCAGTCAACAGAAACGAAAAACTCACCGTGTTGAAAAGTCGGAGTTCGAGCGGAAATACGACTCGATGCGACACTTTCACGTAACGATTAAGTTGCTCAGTGTACTTAAACCGCTTCAGCTGCAACGCCAGGATCATAGGGAGTTTTTTCACAAGCATCCTCTTCTGCAGATTGAATGAAGTGAAATACTGTATAAATTTGTTAGCTCAAAAATGTCTGAGTCACAACAAACTCATAGCACTGGACAGTATTTGAAGAATTTATCAATTCGGCAAAACGGAATACGATTGAAAATTTGAACACCTATTAGTATGCAAATACAGTACTTCAGCAGAAAATTATGCAGAAATAATTCGAAATTTGTCGCTTTCACCAGTTCACAGTACAAGCAGAGCACAAAAAGGCTTGAAACTGAAATTCATTTTCAAATTAAATGTGCTAAAACCCACGATCGTTCGCTGAAAAGATTAGGGAAATGAAGTCTAAAACAATCCCGCAAAGAATCACCTCGAATAATTTCTTGATTCTCCCGAACAAAAAAGTAAATCCACACTACCTTAGAAAATGAACAACGAATTAAAAATTGCGTTTTGTTCCAAAGTTGTCACTCTTTGGGTCTTGATCTTGAGAGGAAAACGTTGAAGTCCTTAAAACATTAGCCTCATTTTCTTCAGCGTCACAGCTTATCTTACTATCCGTCTTTACAAAAAATTAAATAAAAATTCGGGGGATTTCACAAACCTGAGCTTCTTGATAAGAAGCGCAATTATCACATTTGAACTTGTCCTCAGAACACAGCATCTCAGTGTGGGAATACTTCCTCAGGCAATGCGTGATCGACGTGTTTTGATCCACGTCGACCTGCAAGTCGAAGAAGTCCTCGTCTTTACTGCTCACAGTCTCGCAGTTGAGGCATTTGGTTTCAGACGTCAACACGCCCTGAAAAATTTCGTGCACCCACGTCGACCGGTTATCTTGTCGACCCAGTTCCCCGTTCGGAGGCCCATCGTTTGGAATGGATCCATTCGGAGTGAACGAGTGCAACAATCTCGCCATTTCGCCGCCCTTTCGTAGCGACGATGAACCTCCTTCTTGTCCGCTTCTTTCAGCTGGAACAAGTGGGAGAAAATACTGTGCTGTATTGTGTCTATTGGTAAAATAAAATTTACAATTCATTCCAACAAACCCATGATCGCCTCGCTGACTTGGTTGATAAGAAATATCAAGAACTCGTGGGCGTCCTGTTGAAGAAAATTGTCGAATTCCTCTGCAAAACCATAGCCAGATAAACAGCGATTACATTTTGAAAACCATCGCAATATTCAATTAAAATTGAAATAAAGGGTGGCAAAATACACTTTCCATCAGCACATTTTATTAAATGGTCACGTTGGTCCTACAGGGTGATTCATGCGCTCATGGACAAATCAATTAAATACGGTACATATGCAGAATCAGACAATTATGAACACATGAATTTGTCTGAAGACGGCAAAAATACTTCTCCTGAAGTACACTTACATCAATTAGATTTTCATAACTTCCACAGATAGTAATGTTCCTGAAAGATAGATACTGTGCTTCGTGTATCACCTGACACCAGTGCTGCCCAACAATGGCCCGTGGGCCGTTGTTGGGCACGCACAGATTCGGCCCGCAGAGACTATTCATTCATCCCAAGATCCCTTCCCTATAATTTTCAATGTGGAAGCTGCCACTATTCAAGATATATAGTGAAAGATGAATTATGAAATTCAAAATGTAGCTCCACCCTTCAAATAAAAGATTGCGATCCACCTCAAACCATGAAATCAGAGATTACCGCTGAAGGGATTGAATGAACTCCAAATCGAGTTTTGCATGCAGTATCAAGCAAAAATGTTTTCTTGTCCACCCTTCATTACAAAATAAAAGTTTGGAAATTTTCAATAATATCAGGAATAAGCAGGTACCTTTTTCTTTCCTCAGACGGGCGATGAATTTCTTTGGTGCAATTGTTCCAACCTTTTTCTTTTGAGTGGCAATGGAATGGAATAAGTCGGCAAGACAGGAAAGAAGCGTCTCTTTGGCTCGACCTTTACTCTTCGCCTTATATTCGAGCACTTTCTCGCGGAAGGGTTTGCAGAAATACAGTGCTTGAAGCACCGAGTTGCTGTAGCACGTGTTCCCGAACTGGAATTTGTGGAACATTTGAAGTTAATTCAATAATTTATGTCCAGAAAACTGAAAGAAGTCATCTCAGCTCAGCACCAACAAAATTAATTTTTCGACGAACAGTTATTCAAAATGTAAGTAGTACCAAAATCTTACATTCACGAAGCCAAAGTAGTGCTCGTTCGGAGGAAACTGGTCCGTGCCGATTTCCCGTTCAAGCTGAGACGCATTCGTACCCTGTAAAAGTAAAAAAAAAAAAAAAAAATCCTCAGCCCATCTCAGAATTTTTTCTTGTCGAGAAAATGCGAAGGTCAAAGTTCACTAACCATTTTCTCTTGAATACAGGCGAACCAGCTCTTCGATGACCCGTGCATCCCCCTGGAAGCCACTTTAGAATTCTTCGTTTCAAAAGTCACAGATAAAGCTGAGTGCGATAAGCACTAGAGTTGATTTATCGCGTTCGCGGCACTTTTCCAACTCCATGTGCAATCTGGGTCAGATACAAACAATGATCAAGCAACTCACTAGAAACTCGTACTTCCAATAAATCTAATAAACTCGCTCCCAATATTTTCATCGAACTCTTCTGCTGGACACAGAGAATCTACTAGAGGTGATTCCGGAACTCGTAATACAGCAAAAGCAGATATGAAAATAATGAAAGGATTGAACTGTGGATTCTTCCCAGTCAATTAGAAGGAAGTTGACCATCCAAATATGCAAGGGATGAACGGGCATTTTTGGTGGTAAGATTATCAAAATAATATTAAATATGTAAGAGTGAAAAACATATTGCCGCTTAAAACAATATCTCAACACGAAACGTTCTGAACATGACTTTTAGAGGAGTAACAAGGAAAAATTCTGGCGAATTTGAACTTGGGAAGAATCCACACAAAGAAATAACTCGTACACAGCTTTCTTTTCTCTCTCTCCAACGATGTATTCATGTGGTGACCAACATCTAGGGTGATGCTATTACCAGAATCAAAAAGATCGTTGCTTTCTAAAAACAGACCTTGAGAATGCAGCAAGAACAAAATTGTCCTCCTAGAATAACAGTCGAAGTCCGGAGGAAATTGCACTCGAAACAACTTAAACCCATGGAAGGAGAAGCCAGCGCTCTCCCGCTTCGTCTTAGAATTAGAACAAGAACGTCTTGATCTCGTCGTACAACACCAACACGAGGGCACCGCCAGTTCCTCGGAGTACGTTGGAGAACGCGCCCTTGAAGAAGGCGTTGGTACCTTCTTGTTGAGCGATCTTGCGCCAGCAATCTATTGTTCCGGTGTACATGATGTCAGCTCCCTTGCGACCAGACTGCATCATCATGCGTCTTCGCACCGTGTCGAATGGGTATGACATGATGCCAGCAACAGTTGTCACCACCTATTCAAAAGAACCAAAATAAGCACGCCCGAATACCAAACTCTCGATGTTGTTCGTTGCAACTTTTATTCTTAAGCACAAAAAACCTTTGTGTAATACAGGATTGCGATATCTACAATATCCATTTACTCACCTGGGCAATGGCCCATGAAACCAAGAATGGAGTCTTCTTGGGATCCGGCAACATGCCCCTGGCAGTGTCGTAGAATCCGAAGTAAGCCGCACGATAGATGATGATGCCCTGAACGGACACGTTGAACCCACGGTACAATCCGACGAGTCCATCNGAACGGACACGTTGAACCCACGGTACAATCCGACGAGTCCATCGCTCTTGAATGTCTTTGACAAGCAATCACCCAGACCATTGAATTCTCGTTGAGCGGCTCCCTTACCGACGTCAGCTCCCAACCTATTGGAAGAAATCGGTGAAAATGAACGTCGCAGGATTCATGAATTAAACGCTGATTGAAAATTACGCTTTTCCCTACCTCGTTCGAGCGTAATCCAAGGGGTAGACGAAGCACAAAGATGTTGCTCCAGCGGCGCCACCGGAAGCAAGATTTCCAGCGAAGTAACGCCAGAATTGAGTCTTCTTATCGACTCCTCCCAAGAAAACCTGCTTGTACTTGTCCTTGAAAGCGAAGTTCAGGGCTTGCGTGGGGAAGTACCTGATCACATTGGCCAAGTTTCCTCTCCAATAGCTTAAAAAGCCTTGCTCCTTCGGGATGCGCACGAAGGCATCCACGATACCTATTCCATGAGACAATTAACGCATGACTATGCAGAAAAGCATCTCTTCGATTCTTATTAGATCCGTTTCAATGATCCGAATACAAACCCTTGTATTGCTGATCCTTCGAAAGCTGTTTGGATGCGTGCTGAACCTGAAGGAGAAGCTTGACGCGCTCAATTGGAGCAACGGATGTCTTAGAAATGGCTGCGGCAACGCCACCAGCAACGAAATCCTTGGCAAAAGCCACGGGGTCCATCATAGACGACGACATGGTTATTCGGTTTCAAATGGGGGTTTTTGCCTAGTGAAACGCGTAAATGCTCGAGCACAGGAAGAAGAGCTGACACCGGGAGACGTGCTGATGTCGTAAGTGGAACCTGCGAACGCAAATTTTGTAAAAGCGACGAAATATGACATGAAAAGACGCGTCCCTGCGAACTTCTATACGAAGGGACATCGTAGCTAAATTTTCTACAGCACGAGCCAAACACATTGCTCAATCCAAACGTTAACTCTGTTTCACCACGGCCTAACAACGATTCGGTTTCGTCATCGACGTATCAAATAAAGGAGATGATGCGGAATTCTACTTCCTTTGACCTTGACATCAATAATCTAATCTGACGGAATCAAATTTGAAATATAAGTTCTCGGCAGTCCTACACGTTTCGGATATTGAACATTCATCGACATATTGGATAATCGTTATTGATGTTTAAAGCACAGTACAGGTACTAAATTTCAGCACTTCGAATCCGCGACTGGAAAAGATTTCACCACCAACCGATACGACGCCGCACGAAGTATCTATCCCGACTCCGTTTTCCATCCAAGACAGCGTAAAACCATCGCCTGCTGCATGAAAATGAGACGCATACGACGACCCTATTACCCTAGTCAGTCCTGTCACGAGTAGCATCTTGGGAAAGACAAAATCACGCGGACTGGTACGCTCACATTCGGTTACTTGCACTGAAACGAAGGGCACTCTCAGTAGTAAAAAAAAAAATGCAGAATCGTACAGCCCGTTTCTAAAATTCCGTTCGATGCACTAGTACAAATGAAACCTTAAGCTTGTTCATAATTTACTCTTCACATCCCACAACTGAGAACACTACGAAGTGCTATTTCGAGTCAAGAATTGCGAACCGGCCCAATAGGTAGACCGATTGGAACATAGCCCAGAAGCTAGAAGCACGACCAGACCCCACAAAAATTTTTCACTCTCAGCGAGTGACGCGAGTTGGCACTACTCCAATCTTCGAAGGCTTGACTCTCTTGTCTACAACCAAATCACGTGGGGTTCACACACCATCATCTTCATACTCCCCCGGTAGTCGTGGCAGCCGCGATGAGGGAACTGAGGATCTGAAGCCATGAAACGTCACTTCGGAAAACTACTCCATGAATATGCCAATGATCTTGCATCACTGATTATTAAAATACGGTATGCACCGATCCTCCTCAGACAAGTGACGACCGGATTTCAACTTAGATTATTGTACTTGCTCAGTTGTAGTTCGCTTCCTGAAATCATTCGCTTCCTGCACGTGATCATGAATTCTAACAAGCCTATTTTTGCTCCACGCAGTTCTCTACTGTAATTAATATCTGTCCTACATCAAAATTGAGCGCCGACACGATCGATGGGGCTTCACCCGTTGGAGTACTTCATTTTCTGTACATCCATCAAACGAAAGAAGTCGTACGGAGATGGAGAAGTCGCAAGATGTCCACCTTCATGTGACATGTATCGTAGAATATGGGAGTTGATTGGTCATTCCGACGTCGAATGGATCGATGTGACGAGAATTACGTTTGTCAGTAAAGTACTGTGAAGTGATAAGTTCTTAACCGTGATACAGATACATTCTAGTTTCTGATCGATGTTGTAAAGTGGTGGGTTTGTTAGAAGTATCGCTTCATCGAAGGAATCGGCGAGCTTGGATTGTTGGGCTAATACCGGCGAAGAAAGTTTTTCAGAAATTCTTTGGTCTACTCCCGTCCTACTTGACGCATTAACATACAGAGCTCGTGGACCTCGCTTGAAATTTCAACTAGTTACCGTGTCTACTAATTTTTCAGAATGAACGAATAAATCTTAATTTTGTGTGGCCGAAAGTCGCAAGTTTCCACGGCTATGGCGGAGACTCCGGATTACCGATGGCTGTTCATCGGCCTAGTGGCGCTTCTCGTGTGGTTCTCAATGAACGATCTAGGGGCTTCGAATATGCCGAAAGAAGAATCAACCATGGATTTGAAGGAGATTCCATCACCGAAATTCAACAAGTTCATGGGACCAACTGTTAAATTCTTGTATTGGTAAGCCTCCTCCACGTGGTGACGATTTCAGTGAGGCAATGCGAATTTTGTTTCAGTTTTTCATGAGGATACAAGCGGGTCTTCGAGCAGTATGCTGAGCTACTGCGTGAGAGGTACCCGGATATTCTCATTGAAGGAGATAATTTTCCTCCTCCGACCCTGAAAATGTATCTTGCCCAATTTCTGGTAAGTCGAAAACTGCGCAGTTCTGGACATAAGGGATGCAATGTTTCTTCCTTATGGATTTTCAGGGAGTATTCAAACTGGTTCTCATCGTCGCGATTGTTGCGGGCGCAGAAAGCCTCTCAATGGTCGGAATCAGTCAGGCACCGGAATGGTTTCAAAGTCTCACCCGTCACAAGTTATATTCCTGCCTTATGGTGTTTTTTTTATCAAATGCGTTAGAGGGCCAATTAATATCTACCGGCGCCTTCGAAGTTTGGTATAACGGTAAGTACAGCTATCGAACCGTGAAATATTTTTTTTTTATATGCGAGCACTTTTTTCGCAGATGTTCCTTTGTGGTCTAAAATGCAAGTCGGGAGGATTCCAAATCCGCCAGAATTATTCCAGATACTTGAAAATCATCTCAGGCTACAGCAGAGAGGATTGCATCTGGGGGATTCTTTTACAACGTAAATTCTGCGAATGGAATTTTTTTTGTTTTGGGAGGTTTCTCAACTTCTACGAAGTTATCACGCGCGTATGATGGTCGTTCTTGTAAAAGCAAGCTATGCTTGAGAATGCCTGATGGAAAGCGTGAAATGATTCTGTGAAGTTGAGCGACTGACGGTGGGTTATTTTAAGTGAACTTGGCGTACGTGATATCTGGCTCGATTTTTATGCGGTCCGTGTTTCTTCATTGATTTCGGTAGTTTTTTTTGTGTCACATAGCAGCGAGAGGCCAATCGTTTCTTCACGATCTATTAAAATCGTATATGGACATGCTTTGCTTTAATGTAATTTCAGTCTAATCTTGTTAATCGTCTAAAATATCGTGTTTCAGAGCGCTGGTTTAACGAAAGAAAACAGTGAAATATGAGTCTAGCGGATGAACTTTTGGCCGATCTCGAGGAACTTGGTGATGGGGTTGTGAAGACTGAACCCGATGATGTCAAAATCAAAACCGAACCGGGTACCGAAGATGTCCGTGAGTACAATTTTTTTTTAAAGGAAAAATCAACTTGCTGTAGAAAATGCTTTGATGAAAATTTCTTGCTTAATGGAGAATTCCGTTCTTGGAGAATTTTTGGTACACTATTTCACACCTGAATTTCTTTGAGTGGAATAGAAATTCGTAGTGTTGTGTGAAGTGGAAGTAATATATGAAATTTTGGTGCACTTGAGATTTCGAGTGCCAATTTATGGCGAGTTCTTGAATACCTTCGTTTGCAAATCCCTCAAAACTGGAGAATGTTTTACAATTTAATCGTTCTTTCAGAAATTTAGCGGAACCCGAGCAATAAATTATTTTAATCTACTAATCTTCTCTTCCCCGTGGGATCAAATAGACAATAGTATGAAGTATCAAATACAGTAGTATGAAGCGGTCATTAAAATGAATTCATGACCGCAAATGACATTTACCATGTGGAAGAAGTTTGTCATTCTTTTAGAAAAATTTGAAACATTTCGAGAATGGCATTCTTCGCAACTTTTTGGGCACACTGCTTTATTTCCGTTGATAATTGGAGATCGTTGGATCTTCAATTTTTACCAAGGAAATGCGAGGCATAGTTTTCAATTTATTTTGTCGTAGCTCGAGAGACGAAGGTTCTTAAGGATCATTCGTTCGGAATTAGTTTTCCATTTTAATTCTGGTAATTTTCTCAAGAAATGAAAATTTCAGTATTTCCTGATCAAGTTTTGACGTTATCGTGAGTCCGAATAACTTTTGTCAGTGTGTACTTTTCATCGTGGAATGTGTTCAGTAATTTAATCCCCTCTCAAAATATGGATCGATTTGTCTTGGTTCCTCTAGAAATGTCCGAAGTCGGTCCTTTGGACGATGCAGCGAAGTTGTACGGCTCAGAGAAGCTGGAAACGATCATGGCTGCAATCGATGAATGTCTAGAAAATCCTCGTGCACCCGGTTCCATTCTCGGCGCAGTGGAAGCCGATCCCGAGTACCAACTCATAGTTGAAGCCAACAGCCTCACAGTCGAAGTTGATACTGATATAAGCAGTCTCCACAAGTTTGTTCGCGATCGCTACAGTAAACGTTTTCCTGAACTCGAGTCGCTCGTCCCGACGCCGCTCGAATATCTAATGACAGCCAAAGAACTTGGAAATGATCTCGACTCCGCCAAAAATAATCCAGTTTTGGCGCAGTACATAACCCAGGCCACTATCATGGTCCTGTCGGTTACTGCGTCAACTACCCAGGGAGTCAAGTTGGAGGAAGATGAATTGGAGATTATTAGACAAGCGTGTGTTCGAGCCCTCGACATGCAGGATTGCAAGACTAAAATTTTTCAGTACGTTGAAAGTAGAATGTCTTTTATTGCGCCGAATTTGTCTCAAGTTGTTGGACCTGCTACTGCTGCTCAGCTGATGGGTGAGAATTCATTTGTGTTTTTTCATGCTTGAATTTTTCCGCTGAAAAATTGGACTCACAGATCTAAACGTATTGTTTGTCCCCGTGATCAATAGGGTGATGAAGCAGTTAATTTTTTCGATTTCACTCTTGGTCATAATTTATTCGGGATAGAAAAAGGTAGAAAGGACTCACCGCTTATTTTCTTACGGTTTTGTTTTTATAACGATTTTTCGCTTTTAAATTTGAAATTTAATGACTTGCTAAATGGATAATTATTGAATGCATGGTTTGTCGTTGATCGAAAGCAGTCAACATGTGCTTCAACTTTGAATTATTGATTTTTTCCATGTAACGAAATCTGATGTACGCTTCAATTTATGGATTCAAGTTGTTAATGTTGAGGAAGAATAAATGGTATTTTGTCAAGTTTCTTCATCAAAATCTCAATTTGTGTAGATGATTCGGCTGAACATTCTTGAGACTGTTCTTTTTTCTGCCGCTTTTTCCCCAGCTTCTTGAATATTTGGTCTTAATATCTCGATAATGAAAACTCGGATCACGAAAAAATTTTCGGATTAGAAAAGCACCTGATAGCAGAATTACTTCACCTTACTAGTCATTTTATTATTCAATTCATTCTATTTTTTTCGAGAAATTCGAGTGAAATTGTGCAGGTCTGAACAGTAACCTAATTGAATCTAAATATCTTCGATTAAAAGTCCCCATAGCTTCATTCCCTGATTTCAAGAATTTGCTCAGAAGCGTATCGTTTTCATTATCTGTCCAATGGCGTAACTCCTCCTGGAAACTTCTGTGGTGTCATCGCGTCGTTGAATAATTCAAGCATTTTCTTTTCCTTTATTCCAGGCGTCGCGGGTGGGTTGACGAACCTGTCGAAGATGCCCGCGTGTAACGTTCAGTTGCTGGGACAACAGAAGAAAATCCTCTCGGGCTTTTCGCAAGTGGCAACATTGCCCAACACGGGATACATTTATTACGCGCCTACAGTTCAAAACTTGCCGCCTGATTTGCGAAGGAAAGCTGCGCGAGTCTTGGCAGCCAAATGTACCTTGGCTGCTAGGGTTGATGCTTGTCACGAAAGTCCGGATGGGAGTCAGGGGAGAACCTTTAGGGAAATGATTGAAAAGAAGTATGATAAATGGCAGGTTAGTTCCGATTTTTTATTTGTCTTGGAGGCGGGAATACTACTCTGAATTATCAACAATAAAAACACAGGGTGTCCAAACGTTGCTTATTCCTGGGTATTAACTCAAGAATAAGATTATCTAGCAGACTTATATTTTTGAGGTCCGAAAATTCAATAAAATACGAGTGAGAATTGGATAAATATCCCTCTTTTTATTCATGGAAATTTCTTTAATTCAGATATATGTCACTCACCATCAGAAGTGAAATAGAAGAAAGATTATTGCAAGTTTACTTTCTACATGGTCCACAACGAATTTCAAAGAACCGGAAAAAAATCGCTCAAGAGAATTTCGTTGTAGAAAACCCCACGAGGAGACCATCCCGTGGTGACAAAAAAGAAAATCGTTATACAGTACAAAGAAAATCTTCGACAAGATCTTTGTGGAGAGAGTCCACCTGTATAACTTATACATGTTGACAGTATTGAAGCTCATCGTCTTTCCCTCTCTCCAACAATTTTCTCTGTATAATTTTTGTTTTGTCCCATAGGGTTCTCTACCCTGTTCATTTCGTTTTCTACGACGAAATTCTCACAACGATTTTTTCTCGTCCCTTGAATTTCGTTGTGGAGAGATTCCAACTGTCTTAATGCTAGTGAATTGAAACCTGCATCCAAACGAAAATATTGGATGTACTGTGCTACGTTATTTAAAAAAGTTCTCCAGCATCAGTTATCTGCCACTGAAACGTTGGTTTGAGTTCCTTCGTTGTGAAGCTATCTATTTGTTTTCGATGAAATATGCGCTTCCTTGTTTTATCAACTGATTTCGTCAAGCAATCGGTGAACTTCTCACCCTTAGTCTTTTCAACCTCTCATCTGTCATCGAGATCCATTGTTTGTCTATAAGCATTCTTTTTTGACGTTGCTTGTTTAAAATGTTTCTTCTTGCGGAATTAAAGTGTGCGAAAAATTGTTCAACTTCCATTTTTTTCGCCTCAGGAACCACCGCCTGTGAAAGCTGTCAAGCCGTTACCAGCGCCTATCGAACAACCAAGGAAGAAACGCGGTGGGAAGCGTGTTCGTCGAATGAAGGAAAAATACGCGCAAACGGAGCTAAGGAAACAAGCTAATCGAATGAACTTCGGCGAGGTGAAATTCTTCGCTTACATTTTTTTTTTTTCAAGCTTATATGCGTGAAATCGCCCGTAGGAAATTTCTTGGCGGGGAGTTTGTTTGTTTCTCTTCGCGTAGCTGGAAGATTTTCTGCTCTAGTGGTTGGCTTTTCTTATACTGTGCCTTAGTATGTCCTTGACGTCGCTGAGTTTCGATTCAAAGTATTTTTACTTGTAATTGGAGGGAAATCTTGCTGAAAGGGTAAAGTCGCACTTTCAAGTTTGTTTGTCGCCTTGCAGAAAAATTACAGGAGCTTTGCGTGAAATCAGACTTGATCGAAAGGAACATTTTTCATTGACTTGGCATTGAAAAAATAATGGCGCATCCGAAATAATCAGGGGGTTTTTCATTTTTCCATTCCATCTTCAGTTGAACTCCGCGCTAAATATTCAAGGATTTTTAGTGCTGTGTAATAACTGGTTTTCAAATCCATTTTGGGGAAAGCAAAAGCCGTCAAAAATTCCTGTGATTCCAGCTTCAATTTGGATGATAGGTTTTAGTGCCATTGTTTTCTGCGTTTGCGTGTAGATCACATCTATGTATATTTTTATGCGGCAGCTTGCAAAATTGAGTGCTCCTAGTACAGTACATTACTTAATCTTGAAGTAACAGTACTTTAGTACGTGATAAGCTGTGTGACGTTCGTGCTGCATTTTATAAATTTTTCACAGTACTTCGGTAGCTGAACTTTCATAGTTCGTAGGTTAAAAGGAACGTTCGTTGACATTGGTGAGAAAGTTTTATGCGTACTTTTTAGTATTTTTAACTTCCATTGAGATAAAATTCATTGAATTCGGAAGTTCTAGTACTGTACCACAGATCGGAGTGACAAAATTACGGAGTGTAGTACGTGAAGATTATTCCAGAAAGTTGTGTTTTCTCCAGTTGACGTCATCTTGGATGGATCGACTTCGACGCACTGTAATTCACAATAATTATTGTTTGTTCTCTGATCGCTTTTTAATTTTTTGGTCATTCGGTTTGAAGTGTATGGTTTGTGGGCAAAAAAAAATGCGAGGGATGAATTGAAGGACAGTTTCGATTGAAAAATTTCATTTGCAATGTTTCAAGATCTCACAACCCGTTTTCCAATTTAAAAATGTCCATAAACAGTACTGGAAATTACTAAAAAATGATGCTTAATTGAAGGTAGTCCATAAATTTAATTTCGTGGGCAATAAGTTTATCGTTATGCCGCAATTAAAGAAATATCCAGAAGATGAAGCAAGTTGTGCAAAAATTCTACAAAGATCTGAATGATTCTGAAGCAGGAACTTGGGTCACTAAATACCGTGTTGGTTTTTAATTTAATTTCAACAATACCTCTCACGTCCAAAGGATGAACTTGGAAGTCTCTCAAGCAGAAGAATGAAAATAAGTACCTTAAAATGTGTCTTTCTTTTTCACGCTTAGATCGAAGACGACGCCTATCAAGATGACCTGGGCCTAAGTCTGGGTCAGATCAAGAAGTCAAGAGGATCACTGCGAGGCCCTGTGGTAGACGATAGGTCAAAGGTAAAGATCTCCAAGTCGCTTCAGCGATCGTTGCAGAAGGCGAACGCATTTGCGAGTGCGACGCCCGCGGGCGCCGCGACTGCTGTGATCAGAACGGGGTCGACCCTAATCGGGAACTCGTTCAAGCCCAGCCATCACGGGAAATCATCCGTGGCTGGGACTGCTTCTTCAGTTGCTTTCACACCTTTACAGGTTCGTTAGTTTTTTCATTATCTTTAGCTAAGTCTCATTTAAATTTTTCGCTTGCGAAATGTCAGTTCGAAAAATTAGTCTCGTTTATTGTTAACCCATTTTCTGTACTGTATACGGGTGAACTCTCTGTACAATGATTTCCTCTGTATCACGATTTTTTTTTTAGGCCCCATAGGGTTCTTTCCTCATGTTACAAGGTTTCTTTACAACGAAATTCTCTTCCACACGAATTTTTCTCTGGTCTTTTGAATTTTGTTATAGACAATTCGTGGGCAATTTTTTCTGAACAAAGTTGCGCTTTATGGTTTTACCGGTAACGCTGTCATTGTGAAGGACAATTTTTAGAAGTAAACGTTCGACCTTTTTTTTCGACGTCGGAGTTTCGATGAAGGCCGAACTTGTTGTTTGATTGCTGTGTATTTTTCGCAGGGCTTGGAGATCGTGAATCCTCACGCAGCTGAAAAGCGTGGCGACGACAGCTCGGCCAAATATTTCTCGAGCACTGCAGGTTTTGTGAACGTGCGAAAGTAACGGGGTGAAATCTGTCGTGGGAACTTCGTCACCTGACGAGAGCCATTAAAAAAATTGCTGCTTTTACTATTTTAGTACTGCCAACACGTATCGTATAGTTTTTTTTCTGCTTCTCACGGGCGAACTTGAGGTCTTCTAATCACGCAGAGTCATGTTACGTTCGACAGGAACTGGTGGTGCCTCGTAGCGAGCGAATCCGTGTTAGCTTTTGGAATTTTTTTCGTCGGTGTTAACGAGGTGATCGAACGCACAATGTCTTCAAAGCCGAGGGTGTATGTCGGCCGGCTGCACGCAAAAACCCGCGAGAGGGATTTGGAAAAGTTTTTCCGTGGCTATGGGAAAATCCGCGAAATTATGATGAAACGAGGATTCGCTTTCATTGTACGTACTGTAGCTATTTCCTCAGATTTTTTTGGGGATTTCCCGAGCTCATCCTGATTTTGTTATCGACAGGAATTCGACGATCAGAGGGATGCTGAGGACTCGGTTCGTGACTTGGATGGGAAAGATTTATTGGGCGAAAGGTGAGTTCCCTGTGAACTTTCAATCAATAGTTTTTTAATATTCAGTAAATGAGGCGAAAATTATTAGCATTGCGGTTGCCATTGTTTCATTTCCTTTTGGTCAAATTATGCGTCAAAAGAAGGTCAAAAGCGTGTGGTTTACTGAAAATAAAATATTGAAAAATTTCTCGTTGAGGAAAATCTGGAATGTTGGAAATAATCAATTTCTTAAATAATTTAATTTCGTTGTTTCGTTCTAGCGAATTGTTTAGTTGGGTGATTTATATTAATCAAATCTGCTTTGAGTACACCAGAAATAAATTTTCTTCGAGGAAACGTAAATTGAAATATTACTCCGCTCTGAAGATTAAATTTCTTGGTTTCTCTCTTAGTCCACTGAATCCTCTTTTTTGACCTCATATGGTTATGGAGTTCACATTTGAGTGGACATAAGTTGAGGCTCCTTTCCCCTTGCATGCCTCGAGACCTAGGTTTAACTTAATTTTTGAGTAGATGTAGCAGATGCTTGTTTGGTCTTGCCATGTGTATTTTAGGTCACGCTGGTTTCGTAGAGCTATATTTGACGCTGAAACCCCGTTTCTTGCTTTTCTTTGAAATAGGCTGATAATTGAAATAGCTCACGGACAGCCGCGAGGCCCAGGAGGCCACGTCATCGGGGAGGATCGGGACAGGGGCTACAGGAACCGGGACAACCGCGGCGGCGGTGGTGGTGGCGGCGGCGGCGACTTCCGCTCGTCCCGCTATGGCAGTTCGCGCGACAGGTAAACTTCCTTACACCAGAGACAGTGTGAATTCCAGTTTCTGGCTTTAAAAAAACATTGTAAAAAGGGGTTTTGCCGAAACAATGGCCTTAGTGGAGTGTCAACGCACCGTGTGTCTCGGCCGTTTCACCGTTGCTCTTCGATTTTCTCTCCCTCTGTCTTAGGATCACTTTAAGTGACATTGGTCAGATCAGGTCGTGCCAAGTACACGGTCGTAAAATTTTGCGTCTGCAGAAGAGAAACAACGAATTTTATAAATGATAGCATTTGCAGAAGGATCACATGTTTAGCGCTCTCTGCGACAACCCCCTATTGACCTAAACGTTGATTATTCCAAAGAGGTAGAGGAACTGAATAAATATCAAATCTGTCGGACATTTACATTCATTTGCCTGCAGGCTATCGTATAGAAAGTCCACCTTCGTGTTCCATCGGTATGGCATAAAAGAAATCTGGTAACTTGGTGTCATTTTCAATCTTTCGTGGATTCAAAAAATCTTCCGAGACTTCAATTTATAAAACTTTTGAGAGGACGGGCTCCGTGGAGGGAAAATTCAATGAACATACAATGTTCATTTCGTGAGGTTCCGCTCCTTTAGCTTTCAGCGAATGATGTTTTGTTATTTATTGTACGCTTGACATCCTTAAAATATCTTCAAACTTTTTGTTTTTATTTACCAGTTTAATCAATTTTTTTTGTACAGTGGCGGTCGATGTTCGAATGATACACTTTCGAGAGTTCCAACAACCCTGTCTTGTGAGAATTTGAAATTAACATGCGGTGTAATCAGGAGGACCAAAACTGTAGGAGAATTTTCGAGCTTTCTATTAAAGTTGCTTTTCGGTAGAATAATTTTGGCGTATGAGAATGGTTGAAAGGCTTCGCGGCAAATTTGACATGATCTGGAAATACTGTAATATCATGCAGAGGCGTGCGATTTTAGTTTAAATCTTGTCTTATTTTATGACCGCGAGATTTTGGTAAATGTTCGTTTGCCGTGACGTGCTTAAGGGTTGAGGTTAGACAAACGGATGAGCGATGGAAAGGATGACTGGAATCGAGTTGCTTGAGGGAAGTATTCTTGGTAGGTGAGCGAAAGGAAAACAACGAAAAAAGAAGGAAAAAGTAGAAGACCCTGTCTTGTGATGTTGTATTTGCCGGCCCTTGTTGCGCTCAATAACGGCTGGTTTGCTTTTCTATGTGGGGAACCAAGAGCCCGGCGTGCGCACACTTGACAATTGTTGATGCAACGTTGCCCAGTCAAACAGTTGAGGGAATGGTCAGTCATTTCGAAAGTCAAAGGGCGGAGGCTCACGCGAGCTGGCAAGTTTTTTCCTAGCCACCTGCAGCCGTGTAAACCCAACTAGTCCCCACAATCACTGTTCACAACATGTCTTGCGCCTGCAAGAGTCAAGGCTGACGGAAGGCAAGTACGTCACGAGTTTTTCGGACACTCCTGGGCGCTGTGGACGGATACGGAGGAGGAGAAAAGAAAGAGTAAAGAAAACCTCGGGAGATGGCAGTGACATCTACATATATTTTTTTACTCTCTTCGAGTTGTGCCCTCCATACACGATCTCCCACCCGTCCTCTCTCCCTCGCGGGCATGGCCGCAGATTATACCCCCTTCCCGAGCCTGAGTTGCGCGCCCGTTGCTGCGACTTTTAATGTAGGCCGCCATGACGAAGTTTTTCATTCTTTGTTTTCCCCCCTTCTTTCTTTCTCTCGTTTTGCGTTCATTTTGCCTCTTTGCACCCTGCTGTATGTTCTCATTTTTGCATGTGTATAATCTCTCTTGGTTTGTTTTTCTTCGCTTCTGTAACTGAACTTGGTAGTTTCCTGTTTTTGTTTTTCAAAGAAGATAACTAATTACAGGTGGACTTTCTCCACCTGTTACATTGAAATTCAATGGAAAACATAAAAAGTCGTCATACCGAGAAACTCTTTGTGGAGAGATGCCACCTGTATTTCCCAATCTCTTTGAGTAAGCCATGTTGAATTTACCGGAAAGCAAGGGATTTTACATTTCTGCGATGTAGCAATCCCAAGTCCCTCTTTCACTTCTCAGGCAGTTCAGAGTAGCTTCAGAAATGGTACCAGACTGTTACATTCAAACTACAGTACAGTGAAGGTGGTACCTTGCAATTTGACCCTAATACATTCCTTGACTAGGTTCAAATTGCAAAGCAGTCAAATTGCGGGACTCTTTGTAAAATTGAGAAATACTGTATCAACAAAAAAGTGGCCAAAGCAGGTCAAATTCTGGGGCAAAGGTCGAATTGCAAGTCAACTTCCCTGCAAATTTGACTATTGAAGAGGGACCGTCAAATTGCAAGGTAACACCTGTACTGTAAAAATAATTTTGGTTCAGAATATTTACAAGGACAGATTAATTGGTTTACAATGGAACAGATAAACCTTTAAGTGGCAGAGCTGGGATTTTTTGTAGTATTTCCTCACTAGAGACTTGAAAAAAGTTCACTGGTGGTTACAGCCAGAATCTGAAATTATTCATATATTTTTACTCCCTTCACAAAAAAAATTTCGGAGAGCTGATAAAAGCTCTCTCAAAACCGGGTGTTTTTTCTACCTGCAACCATAAGATTAGTTGGAAGAGTCTGCTGAATGTAGCCAATTTTTCAGGCTTAAGTCATTCTGCTTTGGTGCTGTTTTGGTGACCTTCAGCCCCTGCAAAACTCGTAGCGTGCAAAAAATCCTAGCACTGCTGCACAACATTAAAGAACCCCTGCCACCAAAAGGTTGAAGTCTGATCTACTTTACGATCATCCACCTGGAATGAATTGTGGGCATGAAGTGAGGGGCTGCTGTAATTTTAATCTGAATCCAAATTTTTATGCTTCTTTTAAATATTTTTTTAATGAAAATTCTTGTAAAATGAGCTCATTTGTCAATAAAATAAACTAGTGCACTTCTTTCGGACCGGACACAGTGGTCTTCAGGACTAGTTTAAAATACACCAGTTGAAAAAATTTTAGTTTTTAAGAACTGCCACTTAACTTTAACCTTTGACGCTTTAGAGAACTGAACCTGACGATCTCTAAAAAAATTAAATGCGCTTGTCAAAAATTTAGGCAACTTTTCTTTGCAAAAGGTCGTGAATTTAGCTGAAGTCCGGTGAATAACAATTGAACCATTTTAATTTATTTCATGTGAATATTAATGACACGTTTTAAGAACTTTTTGAGAGGGTTGATTTTGTCCTCGAGTCCAGAAATTGGTGGACCGTGACGTCGGGTTCCCAATTTTTTTTCCCTTTTTTCAACAAGGTGGGGCCCAGTTACTATCATCCTAATTTGGGTTCGGAATTCATCTCAATTTCTTGCACAAAAACTGCTGGTGATGGTTGAATTCAATTTTTGGAACATTTATAACAATGACTTAGAAAGCGTCATTCCATCTTCATTTTGCGACTCAAGTGTGAAATTATTGTACCAATGTGCAGATTATGTACCATTGAAAATTAATCATCTGTCTGATGTCACGCAGGTGCCATTTTTAAAGTTCTCAGAACCTAACGTTTCCTGTGACGTTGATTTCTGAATCTTATATTCTCTGCAATTGAAAATTATGACCGAGATTTCAAACCACATGTTTGGTTTTCTTTTTTTTTGCCGTAATGCGTTGGACAGATCTCAGGACACATGGGTTACATTTCATTGAAATTCGTTCCCTAATTTTCACGTTTTTCTCTTCACTTCAAGTTTTAAAATTCAAATACTCAGTGGAGATTTCAGTTCGTCGTATCAATTGTTAAATTGTAAGGGTGAAGTAATTTTTTACAACTTAGCCACGGGATTAGGTTATTTGAAGTGTCCTGAGAAATTAGGGATTGCGTGTGTTTTTCATGTTCTGGAAAGTCAACCTTGACTCGTGCATCCGTCGGATGATATATACACTAGAGTATATTTTTGTCCACGACCGTGAGGGACATGTTTAGATTTCACCCAATTCCAATGGTGAAAGCATCTGTTTATGTTATATGTATTTTTCTCGTTACTGATTTCGGACGATGGTTTTATAAGCTTGTGGTTCGCGGTAGAGAAAACTGCATGACTTGAGTAGAACCAGTGAGCCTAGTTACCACATCTGCTGCGTGGGTACTCGAGAAATTTCTTGTCTGTCTGTGGTGTTCTACTAGAGCATGGAAATCGTTCCCGGCATTATTTTTTTGTAATTTTCGAAGAATTTTCGGTAGTCGGTAAATTTTTTTAATCACTAAAATACTCTCGTTTCGAACTTCATCACTTCAGAGGAAAGAGAAGTGTAAGTTGGGAGTTTTTGATTTCCGGGTGGGCCAGAAGTGTTGGGTTGGCTGGGTTGGAATAGAAGGGTTTCGTTGCATTTTGCCGTGGTTCGAGGTGTTTGTCTCGGCTGACTGGGCCTTTGGTTTGGTTTATTCAAGGGATTCGGGGAGAAATAGACATGGGCCGCCGACGAGGACTGATCATCGGATCTACGTGGACAATTTGTCGAGCAGGACTAGTTGGCAGGTTTGTTTGCAAATTTTCGGCTTGAAGTCAAATTGGGATTATTTTTTCAATTTTGAAAAAATTATTATATTTTTGCAGGACCTGAAGGATTTTATGCGTCAAGCTGGAGAAGTCAGTTACGCTGAAAAAACCAGTTCTAGTTCGGGGTGAGTTTTAGGAAGTTCGTCAAGTTGTTGAAATAAATTGAACTGTAACTTACCGATGGATAACTGCCATGAAGATCGGTTTAAAAGTTTTGTTAGTAATTACAAGTTAAAATCGAAGGGTACGTAAGTTTCGGAGTCGTATTCCTTCGAATGTAAACACTTGTGAGATTCGCGTGACTTGGAACGAGCCTCTTGTACTTGGTGGAGAATTTTCTTCCATTTCAGCCTGGATTTTTCGATGCATGTTCCGTTACATGAAACATTTTTGGGGAATCTGGGATCGTTGAGAGAGACGTTATTAGTTTGTAGGATCAGTTTGAATCTGTGGCAAATCACTGTAGTCCTTCATTTTCTGTGCAAGGGCTAAGTTTTGGAGTAATTTTGGATGGAACTCGAGTTTCTGAGTCATATTCCTCCGAATTTTTAACATGTGATGTTAAATGGCTCGACTTCAGGCAAGCCTCCTATGGATTGGCTGAAGATTTTCTTCGATTTTAAGATTTTTAACCCCAGCTTTTTGCTACTGTATATGAAATACATTTGAACCTCGACAACTCGAACCTCCCCGAGTCTAATACCTTCATATGCCGAGTTGTTTCAAGTATCTGTCTAAATTCCTTTAAGAATGAAGCATTAAAAACCTCCCGAACCGGAAGGCTTTCCCTCTCAAGCTCGAATTTATATCTCATATCTCGAATTTTCTGGAGGCTTTTTGGCTATTAGTTTTAACGACACAGAAGAGAGAGAAAACCTATAAAAATGTAACTTGATGAGTTTTGTGAGGAAGTGAAAGAATAATTGGGCAAATGAAACCTAGCTTCCGAGTTCAGCATCCTGTCAACTCATTGAAGAAGCAATCCAAGGCCCGGAACATCGTCGATTAGAATTTCGTGTAATTTTTCTTCCTCTTCCCCAACGGAAGTGCTTCTTACTCTGAGTCGAATTTCTTTGCTGGTCCCTTGCAATTCGACGTGAAGAGGTTCGACTGTATTTTTTTGAGGGACGCGCAAAACTTGTGAGATATTTTATTCCTGTGATGCACCAATGTACTATCGAAGAATAACTTCACTAGTTTGTCACGGAAGTATTCATTCTTTTTTTTTTCTTTCATTTTGTTTTTCAAGGGTCGTCGAGTTTGCGAGCTCGTCTCACAAGCGAGCAGCTGTGAAGAAATTGGACGGCCTGGACTTGAAGGGACGCCGGGTGCATTTACGCGAGACGTCTCGATCGCGCTCTCGGTCCAGGTCCCGCTCTCGATCCGCGGTCAGGTCGCGCAGTCGATCCAGGTCACGTTCCCGCGGTGCGGATTCTGCGGCTAAGAAGCGAAACGACAGTGGACGAGACGGTAAATTGCGTCCCCGGATTGTCTGTTTTTTTTTTCAGCTGCACAAGAGCTTTCAGCTGCATACTTTTCAGCTGCATACTTCGTGCAGTGAAATCTCACTTCTTGCACGGTACCGACAGAAACGGGATAGATTTGATTTCGAAACTGAATAAGCAGTCAAAAGTCAGTACAATGAACCAGAATTTGCCGAAAAAAATATTCATTTAGAATTGTATTCTATGACGACGCATTTTGTGTTGAGACGCTGCTCTACATTTTTTCATTCTCGGACCAAGAAACGATTTCAATTTTTAGGCGAACTTTTTTGCTCCAGAACATGTCCACGAGATATGAAATGCAGTACATGATAATGAACATCAGCAATACAGTATATAAATGCTCGAGAATATTATTCGTTAGAAAAAATTTTATTCGTCCTCATAGGAACTTTTTTCTGAGTATGCAAGCTTGTGATTCGATGGAAAACGAGCGTGTACGGTTACTTTTTGCAGAATCTCGCTTAGAAAAATTTTTCAGTACAGTATTTACATGTACAATACAGGTATTCACGCTAACAATTTTTGTTAATTCCCTGCGAGTTCGTTGTACAGTAATTGAATTTTACCGGTCTTGGAACCCTGTTCTTTAAAATGGCGTTTTCATTTGATTTTTTAGATGATGCATATGTAAAGAATAACGGAGAGGCCGGAGGAGGAGGAAGCGCCAAAGAAGATGACGATGAAGACCGAAACGAGAAGAAACCGGTTTCGAGGAGCCCGTCCCCGGAAAATCGCCGTCGAGACAAGGACGGAAATTGGGAAGAACGGGATGACTAAGAATAAATACTGCATTCATTGATAACAGCGATTATATGTAAATTTCTGCCCGCGCTTCGTTGTTTTTGTTTTTCCACAAAAAGAGAGAGGTGTCCCGATTTTATCCCAAACTTTTCGTCGGAACCTCGGATCTTTTATTGTCGTCGCGGTGATGCGCTTTCTTTATCCGCGAATGACCTGACACATTTTATCCCACTTCTCTTTTTCTGAAACTTTTTTTATTTTATTTTTTGGGTTCATTTTAGTCGAGGGGAAAAGTTATTCATTTGCAGTTTTCTCCCCTTTTTTCTGGATTCTTTCTGAAAATTGTCATGTCTTTACAAACTCGTTCCCTTGTTATTTCTTTCATGTTGAGAAATCATGTGCTGTATTGTGAACCTTCATCAAATGCTGGACAGTTTTCGTTTGTTTTTTTTTTTTTGGACGTTCTTTTGTTTTTGTCCTGTTCCATGTTCTCAGAAGAATTTCTTCGGAAATTTTTTTGGATAGATTTTTCTTTCTTCAGATGCTGTGAAGTTTTCGCTCATTGTTTTTGGACGGTTTTTGTTTAGTTTTAATTTCTTCGGAAAAAATGTGTTGGATCGCTTTTTCTTTCTTTTTTCATTCATCAAACCTTTACACAGGTACGTTAACAAAATAAGCTCCCCCTCTAGCACAAGCTGCTTACAAAAAAACGACTTCTAAAGACCAGAGCAAAAAATTCTCATCCAGTTAGACGCGCACTTAGGAAAAAAAGTTTTACATGGCATTCGGGTAATTCCCATTTTTTCATTCTCTTCATTTCTAGTAAAAACCGGGTGGTTTGACCGGAAGAAAATCGGCAAAACTTGTTCGAGCTGCTTGTGCAATAAGCGGGATTGGATCTAGCGGATAAACTTGCGTCCCGAAAGATTTGCGGTTGCTTCTGGTCCAACCATCTCGTGAATATTTTTTTTTGCTTACTTTTTTTTTCTGGTGCAATTGCAAGAACGTATCCCGTCGCTGCTTTTGAAGAAAGCAACCCCCAGCGTTCGAGTGGTGAACGAGGTCAATTTTTGTTTGTTTGACGTGGAGCGACGTTGTGTTGTTGGTGTGTGGGTTGCGAGCACTGAAAAAAGTTTTTGGGTCCGCGGTGTTCTTGGTGAGCCCGACCGGTTTTTTGACGCTGCTGTGACCTTTTGACGCGGCACTAAATCGATTCATCGTTCGAGGTGGGAAAGACGTGGTGTCTCTTCATTCTTTTTTTATGGCTGACGACCCTTGAAGCATTGTTTATTGCAGGGTGCTCACGTGGAAGTAGAGTGATTAACTGGCTATAGTATGGACCTTCAAAAAGGCATGGATACCGTATTGACTGAAATAACATGCGCACCTTTTTCTCGAAATTGAGTAAAAAGGGGGTGTGTGTTATATAACGGAGTACGAACCGTCAGAAAATTTTGAAAGTTTAGGTACGCGTTATGAATATAACGATATTCATTATATAGTGGAGGTATGGAATTTTACTACAGTATTATACAGGTGGACTCTCCACAACAAAATTCGAGGGACCATTTTTTGTGGAGAAAATTTGGTTGTAAAAGACCCCTGTAATATTGGGAGAGAATTCTTCGCGACTATAAAGAAAATTTGTTATGCAGAGAACATTGTTGTAAACAAGATCATTGTAGAGAAAGTCCCCCTGTAATGGAAATTTACTCCAATTTTCCTTGTATAGAACAGATCACATGATGAGGAAATTGCCAAACTGAACATATTTATCTTCAGCTACACCTTTTGCCACCAAATTATTAGAGACAAAGGTTAAACACTTGAATGCATCACTAAGTAAAAATTGATTGGAACTTGTTAAAATAAACGAAATTGAAAAGTTATGTAATTAAATTTGTATTTGGTGTCTCATTTTTAAAATGGCGTCCAGGGTGCTTAGTACATTTTTGCTTGAGTAAATACCGCATTTTCAAGGTTTTTTCTTGCCACAGGGAGGATGGAACATTGTAAAATAATGAGAATCCTAACATCTAAGCATCAGAATGCGTTTGGCAAATGGGAAAGGAATCATTTATGTTCAGTGGATCACAAAAACATGCGAGGTTTCTGTTCCAGTCATTTTACTGAAGGAATGCTAAGTGATGTGTAAGTAGATAAATGTGTTTGAGATTTCTAAAATAAATTGTGCATTAATATTTTGAAAAATTGTATGTTAATTTCCACCATATCCACAATCTTTCCAGCAGTAAATGTTTTTATACAAAGCTTTTTATAACAAATTATGTATTGCAACACATTTTTTCTGTCGTCCCCAGAAGTTGTTGTAACAAGATTTTACTGTGCTGTATATGGCAGCAGAAAATTTGGGAATTACATTTGACTGAAGAATTGAATTGTTTTTATATCAAACAAAAAACATTCAGTGTGGATTTGGTGTGTCATATAAGTATTGAAAAAATTGCACAGAATTTCATTTTAAAAAAGCCCTCTTATTTTTAGATTGAGCCTAACAAAGATAAATTTCAAAAGTAACCGGTGAAGAGTTATTTCTCATGACTATAGTTGAAGATTCTAGCAATAAAAAGAAAATAAGACAAGCCAAGTTCTTCTTTTCATTCATCAGCGTCCAAAAAGAATATGGACCTTTATCACGCGTTTTTTTTTCACACGGTTTTGCAGAGAAGAACCCGATACTATTCCATCAGTATATATATGTAACTTGGGAGTATTTTCAAGCCGGCCTTCGAGGCGGCAGATCAGATTTCTCTCGCTGCTCCATGTTCTTCATTTCGGCGTCCCCGGTGGACGCCGCCGACTTTGTTAGAGAGTCGGTCGCGACCCGCGTCACGATGCTATCTCATTTTTAAAATGGCGTCCAGGGTGCTTAGTACATTTTTGCTTGAGTAAATACCGCATTTTCAAGGTTTTTTCTTGCCACAGGGAGGATGGAACATTGTAAAATAATGAGAATCCTAACATCTATAAGCATCAGAATGCGTTTGGCAAATGGGAAAGGAATCATTTATGTTCAGTGGATCACAAAAACATGCGAGGTTTCTGTTCCAGTCATTTTACTGAAGAAATGGTGAGGGATGTGTAAGTAGAAAAACGTGTTAGAGATTTTTAAAATAAATTGTGCATTAATATTTTCAAAAATTATATGCTACAGTAATTTCCACCATATCCACAATCTTCCCAGCAGTAAATGTTTTTACAAATCTTGTTATAACAAATTATGTATTGCAACACATTTTTTCTGAGGTCTCCAGAAGTTTGTTGTAACAAGATTTTACTGTATATGGCAGCAGAAAATTTGGAAACCACATTTGGAAGAAGGATTGAATTGTTTTTATATCCAGCAAAAACATTTGGTGTGGATTTGGTGTGTCATATAAGTATTGAAAAAATTGCACAGAATTTCATTTTTAAAAAGCCCTCTTATTTTTAGATTCAGCCTAACAAAGATAAATTTCAAAAGCAACAAGGGAAGAGTTATTTCTCATGACTATGGTAGAAGATTCTAGCAATAAAAAGAAAATAAGACAAGCCAAGTTCTTCTTTTCATTCATCAGCGTCCAAAAAGAATATGGACCTTTATCACGCGTTTTTTTTTTCACATGGTTTTGCAGAGAAGAAACCGGTACTATTCATAATAGTAAATGTAACTCGGCAGATAAAAGTTCGGCCGGAAGCTCCGCCGTCTAGTCTAAAGAGAGCGACGAGGTACAAGAAGTAAAGCCGCAGGGGCCACCTGCGGCGGCTGAAACAATCTCTCAGCCAGCGCTGGGCGCAGTGCTACGACTTTTGGAGCCGGAGCAGGGCCATGTTCTGGCCCAGCCCGGCGCCTTGCCGCGTGCGGCGGATGTGCGGCACGAGGGTGTCCCAGTACATGGAGCGGAGCTTGGACGGCGGCGGATCCCCGCGCGCGTACGCCTCAATGGCGACCAACGTGGCGCTGCTCACTTCTGGCAATTTATCGCCCTGTGGAATGGAAAGCAAATGAACAATTCAAGAGTAAGTGAGTGGGTTGTCCTAATTATTGCTGGATGCCACCTCTGATATTCGTGGAACATTTTTTTAAATTTTAGCTTTAAAAAAAGCGTGTTTGTTTACCCCATTATTTTTTCTAAATTTAGGCAGTATATGGTTAAAACAACAAACAAATTCAATTTTTAGCCAGCCTTACAAATGTTAATCACCCTGATGTCGTGATATAACTGGAGAACTCTGGCTGTAAGCAGGAAATTTTTAACTTATCATCATGCAGTAAATTGAAAAACCTTTTTAAAAATCTGAAAAAGAATCCCAGAACCTTGAAACATATTATGGGCTCTGACATGATATTTTTTATGATCACACCTGCATTTAAAAATATCAGAGGTTGCATCCAACTGGGAAAACAATTCCATTTAATACTTTACTGTTATTTTTACAGGTGGGCTCTTTTATCTACCTACAATAAAAATCTGAGTTTGTATGTGTAACAAATTTGTTTTTTGGTCCCATATGTTTCTTCTCCCATGTTATGCTATGTAGGGGTTCCCTACCATCACAAAATTCTCCCTCAAATATTTTTTTCATCTGCTCCCTTGAATTTTGTTGTAAAGATAGTCCACCTGTATATAATACTATATAAATATCCCTGCTCAATGTGGGACCCATATTTGTATACAAAAACGCTCACAAAAATTTATATTTCCAGCAGGAATAGAGGTTAGTCTACTTGTCATTCATGTGCAACACTTGATCATGCATGTAGAAAAATTATGATTATAAATTTATCTATGCTGCTAAAATAAGTCCTTCAAATAATAAGCTCCAGCATGAATCTTATTGCCAACAGATGGTGATGTCTTGTCATGGTTTTCCCTTCCTGAATTACGTAATTTTTAAAGTTTCATATATACTGTATTTTAAAATTGTTTGTGAATGTCTGTAATACATTGTCATTTTCAACTACAAATTTAAGCAAAAATATAGTTTTGAATAGCAAAATTCATTCCTGAATTTCTTGAGGGTCCGTGCTGTATGAATGTATGTTGTGATGGTGAGATGTTGCTAGTACATAACCAGATCTGATTTATTGAATGTCAGAATTTTCTGCATTAGTCCAGGAAATTGTGGATTGGGAGATATCAGCAGGATGAAAGGACTCCTATTGGGGTTTTTTTAATTTAAAGGGGGTGTGTAAATGATCAATGTATAAAGTTCATGGGATATTCCATATATAAAATGAACAGCAGCAACACCTTGTTTTTTATGTTGATTGATTGATTGATAAATGTGCTTCATTTGCCATTTGTCAGCATCAACAAGGTTCAAAACATTTTGCAGAATCCCCCTTCTGATCTCACAAACACATTTACTCAAGAATGAAAATGAAAAACAAAATAACCATCAAACTACAGTATGTATAAATGCTTTATTTTATATGATTGAAAGCTCTTTTATGTTACTCTTGCATAATACCATCACCTCATGCTGGCCAATGTTACTCAAATACAGTTACATACATCACCTACCAGCACTGCTGCTGTTGATGATACAGATGGTACCTTGCAATTTGACCCTGATCCATTACTGGTCTAGGGTCAAATTGCAAAGCAGTCAAACTGCAAGACAATAACAAATGGCATAATTTCTACATTTCATTTGACATTTCATGTCTCTCTTTTGGTTGAATTGCATGGCATAGGTCAAATTGAGAGTTGACCTCCCAGCAAATTTGACCACAAAATTGCGGGATGGCTGTCAATTTGTGGGATAATTGAATTGCAAGGTATATACCACCTGTGTACCCTCTGAATATTGCCTTATTGGTTAAAAGGCTTTTCAGATTACCAGCATATGGAGTAATATATACATCAGACAGAGATGCATCAGCGGAATTATTATAAAGGGAACTGCCTGATGCTCAAGTGGATCACTTTTATATATACAGTATATAGTCAGTCCCTCCCTAGCCATGAAGACTATACCGAGAACCCACCTCGGGTCGGATTATTTCCCCCCGCAGAAAAGACGCTGTTTTTCCAGGGAACCCGCCTGCGTGGGCGGGCGAAGCGGGAACCCCACTCACTATATAATACGCTACCCCGTGCATCATCATCTCTGTGCGAACCTGGTTGCCCGGAAATACCCTTCGGGCCATCTGCGGGGTAGACTGCACCTACTGGATTTCTGCAGAAAACCTACCCTATATATTTTCCATCGCGTATTCTGTGGAAATGGTGCTCTTTTTTTTTTTTTTTTACAGCGTTTGCATGATACATATACAGTAGTATATAGTAATTCGCCTGGACATGCTGGCTGTGCTTTTGAAAAAGGTTTATGGATCACCAGTATGGAATGTCATTTATGCACTATACGTACCCAATACGGTGTGGGGGCGGGTATACCATCAGAAAGACAAACTGGTTATGAATGTCAGTGGGTATATATCTCTATATACAGTGAGACTCCCACATGCATGCGGACACCTCAACATGTGGACAATTTGACATGGGGACATTTATTTTTCAATAAAAAAAATCATAAAAAGGACCAACATATGGACATTGACTTGACATGAGGATATTGCATGATAAAATTGCCAATAAATTTTAGGAAAATTGACTTTTATTAGTCTTAATTTCAGGAAACAGATACTCCAACCCTAAGATCTACCGTTATTTACTCAAAAGTACCCTGCGCCCTTGAGTAAGGGGCTTACAGGGGTTTTTCAGTTCAAAATTTGGCTAAAATTGTATCCCCGAGTAAGATGCGCACCCCATTTTTATAGGGACTCTAAAACCACAACATTTCGAAAATAAAAACAAAAAATTTAACTTTTGATGTGAATTGAACATGAATCTGATCAATTTTCAAATTTTTCAGTAAAAAAACGTTTTCTTGGTACATTTGTGACAAATTTCTCCATTATAATCAAGTATAATTAACACACAACTTCCTGAAACGTCTTGCAAATTTTTTACCCACTTATGACGCGCACCCCTTTTTTTCTTCTGAAATTTGAGAAAAAAGGTGCGCGTGGTACTTGAGTAAATACGGTATATGCAAGAAAAATTCTTTGGTACTTTTCCCATCACTTTCCCATCCATTCAGGAAATCAAAAAAATTTCCTAGAGCACAGAGGGACTTCCTTCTCTCCAGGTGCCTTGGATGTTATTTTTACAGGTGCTAACATTTTAATGAACTGTACAGCAGTATACTAATCAATGCTCCAAATGTTCTTATTGGGTTGAAAATATATTCACTAGATTAAATTCAAGTGGCAAACAAATTTTTTTCATGGAATTCTGAAAAAAATGTCTTCAATAAAACACCAATTAAAAATTATATAATGCAAGTCTATGGGAAAACAAGACTCAACTTAGGGACAATTAAACTTTGGGACACTCTTGATGCACCAATTATGTCTGCATATGGGGGTCTCACTGTATCTGCAAAAATGAAATTTCTTGGAGAGGAAAAAAATAATTGGCCCAAGAAAAGTGTTCCACAGAATTACATTTTTTTATATGATGTGGACGAGAATAAACCTTTTTAGGTTTTCATCTATTCGAAGTCATACCCCAGTAGTAGTATGTTATAGGTTTGGTGACAATTTATATACGTTTATTCCTGGTAAATAAGACACCTTAACAGGAACTTACCATTTTTTGATGTGCTCCTCTTCAAGCTTTTTCAGGTAGTTTCAGAATGTTGTGCATTTTCAACTTTTTTAAACATGGTACCTAAGGAAAGCCTTCAGAAAATAACTTTCAATATTTGCAAAGAGCTAGATGATTTTTAAAAAGTGAGGACAAAAATTATTAAGGATTTAGGGGAAATATGTGGCATTAAAATCCCCACCATTGAGTTGAAAGCATTACTCTGGGCTTTTTCTGTGAATCAAACCCTATACTCATATCAATTTTTTGAGCCCCCGTATTGAGGAATAAATTAAATTCTCTTCAATTGAAAAATAGTGTTCTGAATAAAGAAAATCTCACAAAAAAATCATTGTGGAATACATAAGCTTTCTCATGTGATGAAAGCCAACGATTTAATAGATATTTCAGAAAAATTTGTGAATCTCTCAGGCATGAAATCAGATGGTTATATTGATTGGGAAAATGTTTGATTTTAGAAAAAAACTTAGCATAAAAATACCATTAAATACCTAATATATTCTTCATTATTTCTTTTACTCAGAAGTGAGAATGATATTGCTGCTGGGAATAAATTTAACATACAGGTATTTAAAGTCTCCAGGTGGACCAAATTAATTCGGGAATGCCTTTTTTTGCCAAAATTGAATAGGCTTACCTCTTTTTCTTTTCCATTTCTTGTGAAATAGTCTAGGGTTTTCCAGACAGAGTCGTCGACTTCTTCCTTGACCACGGGCATCAACAGCTCATCCTCAATGTAGTCATTCAACTGTCTGTCCCTTTCTTTCTAAAAAAAAAAAGCAATCAAAATAAAATTATCCTTCTACTTGCATATTATCACTGTGTATTATTTAAATGGTAATGCGCGCGTTTTTCTGCTTGAAAGAGCCTCACAGTATTTATTTTTATGCTGAGAAACGGTCAAAATTTCGAAATATTTTCTTCAAATTTTTTGTCTGTTGAAAAATCTGCGGCATTGTCACACTATATTACGTAGTAACAAGAATGAATAATTAGTTTATTCAATTCAAATTCACATTTATTGAGTCTATATGAATTACGGTAATTTATAATTTATAGATACACATTATTATGTTTTTATCGGTCATGAATTATTGTGAACAGAGACGGATTCGAAATTTTTGGAAAAGTAAAGCGATAAAATTCTTAGTTACTAAATGAAACTCAAATCAAGATTTTTGCTTAAAAAGAAAAGCGGAATATTAGAAAAGTGAGTTGATGACTATTTTCAACACAGTTTTTCAACAGTTGACAGCGCTTTTGAGGTTGAAGTTGAAATCTGTACTAGATTTTAGAGAGGTTCAAAATCCAAAGGTGGAATTAAAATTATTTATAGTAATGATAAGATTTTTTTGATTAATGATATTTTTAAAACATCTTATTATCACCGCATTGTTGAGCTTCAATCAAGTGCTGATTGATGTCGTCTCCACATATTAAAAATAGAACTGAATTTTTGGGCGTAAATGAGCTAAATACAGTTTTTAAAAATGAATCGAATAACTTGATATTTTTTTCACCTTGACAGTACGTTCTTCCAAGACTTCAACACTGATTCCCGTGAGTTCTGAACTGCTCTTATTTGGAAAAATCCAAAAGTAGATAAGCTTCAGTATGGGGTCATCATCATACAATATCCAAACCACTGTTAAATATATGCAAATAAGGACCATTTATTCTGTGGAATTGTCCTTGAATGAATTTTTTGATGTGCTTCTCTTCAAGCTTTTTCAGGTAGTTTCAGAATGTTGTGCATTTTCAACTTTTTTAAACATGGTACCTAAGGAAAGCCCTCAGAAAATAAATTTCAATATTTGTGAAGAGCTAGATGATTTTTAAAAATTGAGGACAACAATTATAGAGGATTTAGAGGAAATATGTGGCATTAAAATCCCCACCATTGAGTTGAAAGCATTACTCTGGGCTTTTTCTGTGAATTAAACCCTACTCAAGTCAATTTTTGTGCCCCCGGATTGAGGAATAAATTAAATTTTCTTCAATTAAAAAATACTGGTCTCAATAAAGAAAATTTCATTAAAAAATCATTGTAGAGCAGATCATCTTTCTCATGTGTTGAAAGCCAACTATTTCATAGATATTTCAGAAAAAATTCGTGAATCTCTCAGGCATGAAATCAGATGATTATTTATTTATTGGGAAAATTTTTGATTTTAGAAAAAAAAACTAGCATACAAGACACTTTTATATAATTAATATATTCTTCATTTATTTTACTCAGAAGTGAAGATAATATTACTGGGAATTAATTTAACAAGCTTCAAGTCTCCAGGTGGATAAAATTAATACTGACATGCCCATTTTTTTTGTGCCAAAATTGAATAGGCTTACCTCTTTTTCTTTTCCATTTCTTGTGAAATAGTCCAGAGTTTTCCAGACAGAGTCGTCGACTTCTTCCTTGACCACGGGCATCAACAGCTCATCCTCAATGTAGTCATTCAACTGTCTGTCCCTTTCTTTCTAAAAAAAAAAGCAATCAAAATAAAATTATCATTCTACTTGCATATTATTTCTGTGTATTATTTAAATGGTAATGCGCGCGTTTTTCTGCTTGAAAGAGCCTCACAGTATTTATTTTTATGCTGAGAAACGGTCGAAGTTTCAAGATATTTTCTTGAAATTTTTTTGTCTGCTTAAAAATCTGCGGCATTGTCACTATATTATTTAGTAACGAGAATGAATAATTAGTATTATTCAATTCAAATTCATATTTCTTCAGTCTACGTGGATTACGGTGATGTATAATTTATTGATACACATTATTCTTTTTTTATTGGTCATGAATTATTGGGAACAGAGATGGATTCGAAATTTTTGGAAAAGGTAAAGCAATAAAATTCTTAGGTACTGAATGAAACTCAAATCAAGATTTTTGCTTAAAAAGAAAAGCGGAATATTAGAAAAGTGAGTTGATAACTATTTTCAACAACGTTTTTCAACAGGTGATAGTTTTTGAGGTTGAAGTTGAAGTTGCAGGTGAAATTTGCCACAGTTGAACTTGCCGCACTTCAACTTGCTGCACCCTAACTTGCTGCTGCTGCAACTGACTGCAGCCTGAAGTGACTGCAGTCACAAGTTGCCACTGCAACAAGTTGCCGCAATCATTTCTCACCACAGTCACAACTTGCAGTAGTTATAAGTTGCCACTCTTTCAACATGCTGAAGTTGAAGATTAATTCAGACAGTTCTAGAGCTTTTTAAAACTTAATTCACAGCAGAACATGTTTGCAATTTAAAAAAATGTACAATATAATAATATGGAAAAAACCTTACCATCAAAAATAAAATGCACATCATTTAGCCACCAATAGTACTAGTTCAGGATGAAGGAATTCATTGAAACCCCCTCTATATATTATAAGAATTTTCGCACAGCAGAATGCCTAGTTAAGAGTGAGCAAATGTTGGAATTCCTTTTTTTTCTTGAAATTTTAGTCAATGCAATGGCAAGTGGCTGAAATTCATTTGGCAAATTGTGATAGCAGCAAGTCATTACAGTGGTGAGTTGTGGCAGTGGCAACTTCCACCTGCAGTGACTTCTCACAGCAGCAATTTAACACTGCAGCAGGTTGTGACTGCGGCAAGTTAACACTGTGGCAAGTTGTGACAGCGGCAAGTTCAACTGCTTGCAGCAGGTTGGGTGTGCGGCAAGTTAGAAAGCAGCAAGTTTCACCAACACAGAAGTTGAAATCTGTACTAGATTTTAGAGAGGTTCAAAATTCAAAGGTGGAATTAGAATTATTTCTAGTAATGATAGATTTTTTTATTAATGATTTTTTAAACATTTTATTATCACCGCATTGTTGAGCTTCAATAAAGTGCTGATCAATGTCGTCCCCACATATTACAAAGAACTGAATTTTTGGGCGTAAATGAGCTAAATACAGTTTTTAAAAATGAATCGAATAACTTGATATTTTTTTCACCTTGACAGTACGTTCTTCCAAGACTTCAACACTGATTCCCGTGAGTTCTGAGCTGACAGTGTCGTTGATCAATTCCTGGGTGACATTGTTCATCAGCGATGATTTCAGCGAATCATTGATTCCCTCGGGCTTTTTATTCAGCCAGGGGGCCTCCGTTAATTTCCCAAAATTCACTGGTGTGGATTTGAAGTAAGGCGCAGGATGATCTGGGATTTCCGTGGGGAAAAGGGTGGCTGCTGAATTCGTTCTTGCCCTGAGGGCATTTCCATCAGAAAATGGTCGAATTAAAATTCAACGAAAATATATAATGAATGATCAATGCATGTGATTCTGAATTCTGATCTATTGTTATTTCTTGAAATTAATTTCATTAAAAATCTAAAATCGGAAACGATTTCAAGTATTTTACTTATCAGACTAAGATATGCTAGAATTTTCTGAACTGTGAAGAGCCTCAGTTTTAATTAGGAAAAGTTTGAATTGAAGCAAATTTAGCTACGTTTAAACGCCGTATCATGAGAAATAAAAAAAACAATTTTCTTGCCTCGAATAATCAAAATAACTGTAAATTTCTGCCTTTTTAATTTTTCAAATGAGTTTTTGACAACGTTAGCTTGAATTATATCGCGAAAAACTTTTTTTTTTTTACTCACTCAGAGTTGGACGAATTTTTGTTTCTCCTGGACTTCGTCGAGCTTCTTTTTTCATTGGGATCTTCGGGCTTTTCTGATCTTGAAAGGACAACAGGGAAATTCACGAATTCAAATTTTGTCACTTTTTAACACTGATAAAAACATAAAATTTTATAATGTCACTTTATCGGATCTTCCACAATCCGATGATGTTGAACAAAATTATACTTCCATTGTAGAATGCACTTAATTATTAAAATCTGAATATTTAATTTTTCCTCTTTTTCAGACTGCGAAATATTATACAATTTTTAATTTATAAATTTTCTTTGTGAAATACATTCTTGTGATCAATCGAAGATATTTTCTGCATCTCAAACAGCAATATTTTCAATGTATTTTTCCCAATTGAGTGTTTAAATTCAATTTTAGTTTTTTGCTTTTTTGGATTTTAATTTATTACCGAATTTTTTTCATGTATAGTACATATTTTATAAATATAAAAACTTACTCGGGGGTGGAAGAAAGTTTGTTTCGTTTCCTCGACTTGGTCATGTCGACCAGCAGCAGTTGACTGAACCTAGAAAAAGGGCAAGAGACTGACAATAAATAGTCTCTTGTTTCTTGCCTGGGTTTATTATACGAGCCCATCATGCAGGGGTTTGTTTCAAACCCCTGGGCCTGGGTTAACATTGCTTGGCAACCGAGGTGCATTGTTCAGGTGTCCGTGTTGCTAGGAAATATATGCATTGAAGTGGGCTTTTGGTGTAGAGATTGATGCTCATTTCCCTGACTGCATATACAGTATACAGTACTTCCACAAAGGCCCTCTATGGTAACCAGTCATTGCTGTATATATACTTGTATACAGTGAAATTAGCTGAATATATGGGAAAGTGATGTGAAAAGTACCAACGAATTTTTCTTGCATATAGATCTCAAGTTTGGAAATACAGTATCTGTTTCTTGCAATTACGCTTAATAAAAGTCAATTTTCCTAAAATGTATCGGCAATAATTTCATCATGCAATGTCCTCATGTTGAGTCAGTGTCTGTATATTATTGGGCCTTCTCATGATTTTTTTATATAGAGAAATAAATTTCCCTATGTCAAATTGTTCCCATGTTGAGGTATCCACATGTGGGGGTCTCACTGTATATATATATTGATGATTTTTAGTTCTTTTCTGCATTCAATGCTTCAACTTCCCAGTCATTCATTCATTCATGTTAAACCTTTAGAGAAATTACATTTGCATTTGCAATGAGTTCATAAATAAGTTTTGGTGCATGAATGCTGTGATCACAGATCACAAAAGAACTAAAAAAAATTTAGTATATTAAAAAATTAATCTAAAAAACCACGTTTTCAAAAAGCAAAAAATAACCTTAAACGTGAGCTAGCTAGTCAGGAAGTGAGCAAAATTTGAGTTGCAAAATTTGATCTGGACAAACAAACGGACAAGAAAGCAAGTTAATAAAAACGTGTTAAAAACAAAAAGCACTGTGCCTTTTTTGAGGCTGACAGAACATATATTGAAGGGGTCACCTTGAATATACAGTATTAGCATTGCAAGATGTGAGTGTGTCCTGAACAATGTTTAGAATTTTTCATCTTACTGTGAAATCCCTACAGCATGCTTTCACATTATGTGGATGGTAACTGCTGTGTCTAACAGTAGCTGGTCACTGGTCAATTGCCTTTTACATGTCCTGGTTTAATTTATGTACACATCATGCAGTTATGCACCTGTGTTGTGCAGAATCTATAAAGATGTGTCCAAATGCATCTTCTGTATTCTTTGTTGGTCTGGCTCTTGTTGCAGATAGTTGGTATCAGAAATATATTACTCATCACCATCAGTCACCACTGCTTAAAGTATCTTTGTTTCATGTCACCCCAGCCATGAGAATGAATTACTTTTCAACTTAAGTTCATCCTGATGGGTAAAATCAAAACAGAATAAGTCAAACAGCAAAAAAAAAACGTTCAATGCATATGTATTTGTTCTGAACAATTTTGACAACTATTAGCTTAACAATATGCTCCAAGTTTTTCAATAATGTTTTATTTAATATTTTCAGTGAAGAAAATCAAGAATCAAATAAATCCGTTAGAGTAAATTCACACACACAATACATACAAACACTCAAGAATTGGAAAGATTTGAATTCATTTGCAATAAATTGCTGTAAAATGTAACTGAAGCACCGTCATGGGAAATTTTATGACAAGACTTTGAAATTTCAAGGCTTTCATCTTCATGATATGTGCCATATCCATATCCAATGAAACGTTAAAATTTTTAGCCACAATTTGGCATCATAAATGTAGTGATTTTTAATCTACTTTCAATATTTGCTTCAAGTTATATAATTTGGCGATAGTGTATGTATACAAGTAATTCTACAGAGAAAGAATGGTGAGTGAATGTCTGTGCTGTATGAAAATAAGGATAACTTCCAGATTTCTATCCTATTAATTTATTGGCAGGCCCAAGCCATTTCAAGAAACATTGATCATTTTTCCAAAAGATTGAACCACTTCTGTAAAACTGAGCATTTTCAATAAAACTAGTATATATGCAGTAGTATAGAAAAATGAAAATATCAAAAGTTCAACAGTGCAACACAACGTTGACATTTTCAAAAAAAAAGCATTTCATTAATTTGAAGAACTCTGAAACATTTATTCCTCAAAATTTCCTTCGGTTTTCACAACGTGTTCATTACAAAATAAATGTAACCCCATTTCCACAAAAGTTTCAGTTTTTTTTATTCCATAACGTATACAAAGCAAGCACCGGGTACAAATACAAAAGCGAGAATAAAATGTGCGAAACTTCACCGGTTCTTTTTTCATATTTCAAGCTTCCGAGTAGTGAATTAACAAAATTTTCTGTTTTCTCAGAAAATACTGCAGTCGTTTCCAAAGACTAATATTTCTTGGCATTAACAGAAAAATGGAAAAAAACTGTGCCTGAACAAGTCAGCAATCGTTTCAAAACACTGTGTCACAAAAAAAGCGCATGTCCAAAAATAGCAGTGATAAGCAATTTAAATGTGAAAAAAATAAAATCACATGATGAGTCCTACATTAAAAACAGAAATACAGTATTACGTAATTCATAACACAGCAGGAAAAAGGTATAATAGTTATTGATTATAATTAAAGAATCCACGAATTCTTGCATTAACAAAATTAATTAAGTTTGAAGATCATTACAAGATTAACTGGCGTTTATTTTGGTGAAAACTGTTTTGTAGCTATGTTTAAAACGTGGTAAGTGTGCTTTATATCTCAGGAACTGTTCTGATGGTTCAGCATTTTTGAATTGTACTTCTGCATGCGTTTTTCTCAGGTTGTTTTGTAATGGGTAGTTTACAGAGGCGCTTTTTTTACTACACGCTCTTTTGGACATGCGCTCTTTTGAGCTTGCGCTCATTTGAGCTTGCGCTCTTTTGAGTTTGCGCTCTTTTGAGTATGCGCTCTTTTGAGTTCAAGCTCATTTGGACATGTGCTCAATTTGAGTATGCGCTCGTTTGGACATGCGCTCTTTCAAACGTGCGATACTTTGCCCAAGCGCTCTTTTGAGATTCGTTGAAATGTTCAGTCACAAAAACAAAACAAAACAAAACAAAAAAACATCACGTTGGCCCTTTTTCGTTTTCGCATCAACCTCTGAATCCAAAACGCTTGGAGCTAGTGTTGACGCGAAGGCTGCTGAGTCGTTGTGCTGTTTGCGGACTGAAGGCGGTTGCGTATGGCTTGAAATCGCCGCCACCGCCGCCACCACCACCGCCGCCTCCTAATGGACGAGTGTTTGGTCGGGATCGGTGGTAGTCGGCAAACCGAGTGTTGGAATTGGCGTAGGGGGCGACGTTTGGGGCGTAGCCGCGAATGGTTTGTGCAGAGCCCATCAAATCGTCTTGTCCTTCTTCTGTGGCCCGCTTCATGATCAAATGATGCAGGAGACTGGCATGGGGGCCGCCATGTTGCTTGGAATCTTGGATTTTCTGTGAAAAAGTCGAGTGAACCAGATTTGTCGTTGATTGAGTCGATACGGTACAGTATTAAAATCAGCTTGAAAAAATATAAAATGAAAAGATATAAAATATAAAATGATATAAAATTTAAAATGATATAAAATATAAAATGATATAAAATATAAAATGATATAAAATATAAAATGATATAAAATATAAAATGATATAAAATATAAAATGATATAAAATATGAAATGATATAAAATATAAAATGATATAAAATATAAAATGATATAAAATATGAAATGATATAAAATATAAAATGATATAAAATATAAAATGATATAAAATATAAAATGATATAAAATATAAAATTATATAAATATATAATATAAAACGATAAAATCATCAGCTTAAATAGTCAGGTGTATGGAATAGAAGGTGGCCCAGGAAAATATCTTGTGCCAATTTTCAAAAAGTATAGCATCTAATCTTACAGATAATCAAGGGAAATGAAGTACAATACAGCAGTATTCCAATCAGTTCAAATTGAATTGCTGTTGAAGTCCTTTCAAATTGCTTTATTTGAAATTTTAACTAATTCAGCATGATTGAGTGATGTGCCAAACTATAAGGTCAAATTGCGAGGTACCATTTGTACATGGTTCTTATGTGACCCATTTTTGACAAAATTCAATTGTGCTTTGAAAAGTTTAACTGAAGGCTTACAAATGTCAAACATAGTTGAATGGTTCATTCCCAATTATTGTTTCCATGGCTGTTCAAAACAAACATAATTTGAGGAAGTGGGTCTTTCCTGAATGCTTGGCTTGAAAAAAGCAAGAATAGCCTTGTATACAGTATTTTATTCAATTTTTGGAATCATGAGAGTGCATAAAGTTGAATGAATCTATGGTAGATTAGCTTCAAATATTTTACTTATGAAAAATTTGTTGAAGAAAGAGCTTTATTATTAGTCATCACTCTTCCAGTCAATTTTTCTTAACCTTTAATTTTTTAGCAACACACAAATTGAGCTCAAAGACTAAAATGCAGCAAATATTGTATGAATCTTCAGAAAATGCCCGTGATCTCAATCTGAATAATTTGTGTGCCTATATAACATAAATGTCAAAATTCATAACGCATTGAAGAATTTCCAAGCTTTGCAACAACAAAAATACCATCGACATCAAGCATGAAGCGATTTTTAACCAGTCCTTGTTTTTTGTACCAAGCACATTTAAGAATTGAATATGATTTCCACTGAATAAATCAATAATTTTCTCAAGTATCAGATGTTTCACATGCAAGGGTATTTTAATGCACTTTACACCTGTTTAAGTTTTACTGATAGCAAGAAGGTCTCACAATACGATAATCTGCTTGAAAAGTAGAATAACCATCAAAAATCGTAATTTCCCAAGCCATGAGTTAGTTCAGTTGAGTTTTCACCACAAAGATTGTAGAAGAGAATCAGGAAATAAAATTCGACAAGGCTTGGAATCAATAAATAAAGGCTGCTTTATTTCAGATGCCACAAAAAATTGCAAGCCAACAGGAAGCACACAATTCTACACAGAAACTGCTGCGTTTGGGATAAATTTGCACATGCAGGAGGGACTTTTTTTTCAAAAATGAGGTAATTTTTAATTTGCCTGAACATTAAATCAAAACTACATATTAATTTCACCAACTGTGCTATTAATGGTGAATTTTAGACCTGGTTCACCCTATATACAAACTTGATAGGAGTTCAGACATAATCTCAGAAGTTTCTTTACTTATACTTGAGCAAAACATATATGAATCGAATAAAGGTTTTCCCCCCAGACTGGCTTCACAATTTGACTATATATGTCTTAATAACCTTTAAAGCAAAGCTCTAAAGGAGAAAAATGTACCATCCAGTTAGAGAAAATGAAAATATCACAATTGTTTAAAAAAGCACCTCATTGATTCTTACTGGGGACTCAAATGTTCACATATTTTTGCTTGATTGATAAAAGTATTTGACATTAATTCTAAACAACAGTATATACGAAAAATAGATTAAACCTATGATCTTAAACAGTTCTTCAAAAAATGTATTGTTGCATTAAGGATGTCATTATTCTCATGCATTGGACTTCATCATATGTCAATGAAAATTTATTTATTTTGAAAGCTGACACAATTTTTGAATGGTGTGTATTTCTGTGAACAAACTTGTCTTGTGAGAGTCCATATGTTTATTTTGTGGGGATAACTCTTTCTGAGCAATGACATATATTATGAATGAGATATTGTATACAGATGAATTTAATCCGTGAATGATATGGCTAAATAACCAATATTATATAGTGGACCAGTGTGGTACTGAACATTCATAGTTTGAACTTGAATTCAGCATATAGATCTCAAATTTGTTTATGCTCAGATTTACTCAGCATCAGTTTCAGCAACATCATGGAAAATTCTTTTTGATGAGGGGCTAGCATTTTTTTTTTCCAGAGCATCTGTTTGCTACCAGTATATTGGTCTCACACTCTGGATATAAGGCCTTTACTAAATGATGACACACTACGTTTTTCCCCTGGTTGTCATATTTTTTTTTTTTATGGAAGAAGCTTAATAACGTTCTGTAGTGGTCTTAGGAGCAGAGGTCAGAGGATGACGCTTTTTGAAACCAGTCACCGCTACTGGTTTATCCTCAACCATAACCTGCGGTTCTTTGGGAATAACTGATGCAGTGTCTCTGGCGAAGCGGAGTTGGAACAAGCCCAAAATGGCGTCAGCAGCTGAGTCACCAAAGGCACGCACCTGCTGCTCCAATTGGGGGTTGCTGCTCATTCCTGATGAAGCGCCATCTGCAGCAGCAGCAGCAGCATGAGCTGGAGCGACCTCTGGTGCTTCCTCAATGTCATCATCATCTTCTTCTTCTTCATCCTCTGATTCTTCATCTCCTTCAGCGCTGTTGGAGGCGTTTGTTGTGGTTCTCAGCTCTGGTTCATCATCATGATGATGGGATTTTTCTGTTGTTGTTGCTGATGATGATGATGATGATGATGTGCTGGCTGTTGTTGTAGTTGGTAAGGTGTTGGCAGTGTTTGACAGGACACCAAGGACAATGCAGACCTGTGAATCAATGTAATGAATGCTTCATAAAAGAAATGATGCCTTTATAGTGCTGATGGCGCTTCAGTATGGCACACAAACATCCTAAAACAACTGGCATGACCTTATTTATAAATAAAATATGTGTCCCAGAATGTATATAGGCCAAATCATCACAGTTTTGCTTGGTAATTAAACATCAATGAAATTTGAATCCTGAAATGGTCTCATATAGAATGGTCACAATTTGGGAACCACTCAATTAGGGACAAAACAATTCATGGTTTGAGGCACAATTTTTTGTTGTTGAAAAAAAGTGCAGCAACCAAAAAGAGGGGTTTTTGTTTGAAAAAAAAAAGTGTACAGCAGGAAACTCAACAAATAGTTAGCAATATAAAATTCTCATTTGGAATTTAAAAGGGGAAGTTTCCCATTTGATGAATACATTTTGGACTCTGATGCAAATGATAAAGAATATTGAAGAACTTATAAAAGTTCAATTTCTTTCCATTGCTTGGAATTTACAGCACAGTTTTTTGAATCACTTGGATTATCTAAATGGCATCATATTGGGATACCATTATCTATATGGTATCCCAGGAAATTATTTATCATTTCTATAGCCAGGTGCTTCCATTTCCCAAAAACCCTAAATCCATTCTCTCAAAATAAATCACACGTTTTCCCATTAAAATTCAGAAAATTTCCAGTTTTTTCATTATTTGGAAATAATTTTTTTTAATCATAAGCCCTGGCCCATTTCTTTTGAAGATGAGGGGAAAGTACCTATTTGAACTTTTGATTTTATAACAACACAAGGTTCAACAGATTGCATTTTCTTCATATCAAATGATATAAAATATAAAATGATATAAAATATAAAATGATATAAAATATAAAATGATATAAAATATAAAATTATATAAATATATAATATAAAACGATAAAATCATCAGCTTAAATAGTCAGGTGTATAGAATAGAAGGTGGCCCAGGAAAATATCTTGTGCCAATTTTCAAAAAGTATAGCATCTAATCTTGAAGATAATCAAGGGAAATGAAGTACAATACAGCAGTATTTCAATCAGTTCAAGATTAAATTGCTGTTGAAATCCTTTCAAATTGCTTTATTTGAAATTTTAACTTATTCAGCATGATTGAGTGCTGTGCCAAACTATAAGGTCAAATTGCGAGGTACCATTTGTACATGGTTCTTATGTGACCCATTTTTGACAAAATTCAATTGTGCTTTGAAAAGTTTAACTGAAGGCTTACAAATGTCAAACATAATTGAATGGTTCATTCCCAATTATTGTTTCCATGGCTGTTCAAATCAAACATATTTTGAGAAAGTGGGTCTTTCCTGAATGCTTGGCTTGAAAAAAGTAAGAATAGCCTTGTATACAGTATTTTATTCATTTTTTGGAATCATGAGAGTGCATAAAGTTGAATGAATTTATGGTAGATTAGCTTCAAATATTTTACTTATGAAAAATTTGTTGAAGAAAGAGCTTTATTATTAGTCATCACTCTTCCAGTCAATTTTTCTCAACTTTTAATTTTTTAAAAACACACAATTTGAGCTCAAAGACTGAAATGCAGCAAATATTATATGAATCGTCAGAAATTGCCTGCGATCTCAATCTGATTAATTTGTGTGCCTATATAACATAAATGTCAAAATCCATAACGCATTGAAGAATTTCCAAGCTTTGCAACAAAAAAATACCATCGACATCAAGCATGAAGCGATTTTTAACCAGTCCTTGTTTTTTGCAAGCACATTTAAGAATTGAATATGATTTCCACTGAATAAATCAATAATTTGCTCAATTATTAGATGTTTCACATGCCAGGATATTTTAATGCACCCTATACAGCTGTTGAAGTTTGACTGATAGACGGTATCACAATAATCTGCTTGAAAAGTAGAATAACCATAAAAAATCGTAATTTCCCAAGCCATGAGTTAGTTCAGTTGAGTTTTCACCACAAAGATTGTAGAAGAGAATCAGGAAATAAAATTCGACAAGGCTTGGAATCAATAAATAAAGGCTGCTTTATTTCAGATGCCACAAAAAATTGCAAGCCAACAGGAAGCACACAATTCTGCATAGAACCTGCTGTGTTTGGAGTAAATGCAGGAGGGACTTTTTTTCAAAATGGAGGTAATTTTTACAATTTTTTCCTGAACAATAAATCAAAACTAATAACTTCACCAACTAACTGTGCTATCAATGATGAATTTTAGACCTGATTCACCCTATACAAACTTGATAAGAGTTCAGGCATGCATCTTAGAAGTTTCTTTTACTTATAATTGAGCAAAACATATATGACTCGAATTCAGGTTTTCCCCCCAGACTGGCTTCACACTTTGACTATACTGTATATCTGCCCTAATAACCTGTAAAGCAAAGCTCCAAAAGATAAAAATGTACCATCAAGTTAAAGAAAATTGAAATATTACAATTATTTAAAGGAGCACCACATTGATTCTTACTGGGGACTCAAATGTTCACATATTATTGCTTGATTGATGAAAGTTTTTGACATTAATTCTAAACAACAGTATATATGCAAAATATATTAAAGAAGATCTCTGAAACAATCCCTCAAAAATTATTGTTGCATTAAAGAAATCATCCTCATTCATAAGACTTCATCAAATGTCAATGAAAATTTATTCATTTCAAAAGCTGACAAAATTTTTGAGGGGTGTGAACAAAATTGTCTTGTGAGAGTAATTAAAGGTTTATGTTTTGGGGATAACTTTTTCTGATCAAAAATATCATGAATGGCTTAATTTATACAGATGACCTTAATCCTTGACTGATATGGTTGAATAACCAATGTTATACAGTGGACCAGTACATTCATAGCTACAAATTGAATTCCGCAGATCTCAAATTTGTTGATGATCAGATTTACTCAGCATCAGTTTCAGCAACATCATGGAACATTCTTTTTGATGAGGGGCTAGCATTTTTTTTCAGAGCATCTGTTTGCTGCCTGTTTATTGGTCTCACACTCTGGATATAAGGCCGTTACTAAATGATGACACACTACGTTTTTCCCCTGGTTGTCATATTTTTTTTTTTTTAAGGAAGAAGCTTAATAACGTTCTGTAGTGGTCTGAGGGGCAGAGGTCAGAGGATGACGCTTTTTGAAACCAGTCACCGCTACAGGTTTATCCTCAACCATAACCTGCGGTTCTTTGGGAATAACTGATGCAGTGTCTCTGGCGAAGCGGAGTTGGAACAAGCCCAAAATGGCGTCAGCAGCTGAGTCACCAAAGGCACGCACCTGCTGCTCCAATTGAGGGTTGCTGCTCATTCCTGATGAAGCGCCATCTGCAGCAGCAGCAGCATGAGCTGGAGCGACCTCTGGTGCTTCCTCAATGTCATCATCATCTTCTTCTTCTTCATCCTCTGATTCTTCATCTCCTTCAGCGCTGTTGGAGGCATTTGTTGTGGTTCTCAGCTCTGGTTCATCATCATGATGATGGGATTTTTCTGTTGTTGTTGCTGATGATGATGATGATGTGCTGGCTGTTGTTGTTGTTGTTGTTGGTAAGGTGTTGGCAGTGTTTGACAGGACACCAAGGACAATGCAGACCTGTGAATCAATATAATGAATGCTTCATAAAAGAAATTATGCATGTATAGTGCTGATGGCACTTCAGTATGGCACACAAACATCCTAAAACAATTGGCAGCATGACCTTATTTAGAAATAAAATATGTGTCCCAGAATGTATATAGACCAAATCACAGTTTTGCTTGGTAATTAAACATCAATGAAATTTAAATCCTGAAATGGTCTCATAGAATGGTCACAATTTGGGAACCACTCAATTAAGGACAAAACAATTCAAGGTTTGAGGCACAATTTTTTGTTGTTGAAAAAAAGTGCAGTGCACAGCAACCAAAAAGAGGGTTTTTTGTTTGAACAAAAAAAAAGTGTACAGCAGGAAACTCAACAAATAGTTAGCAATATAAAATTATCATTTGGAATTTAAAAGTGGAAGTTTCCCATAGTTGATGAATACATTTTGGACTGTAATGCAAATGATGAAAAATATTGAAGAACTTATGAAAGTTCAATTTCTTTCCATGGCTTGGAATTTACAGCACAGTTTTTTGAATCACTTGGATTATCTAAATGGCATCTTATTGGGATACCATTATCTATATGGTATCCCAGGAAATTATTTATCATTTCTATAGCCAGGTGCTTCCATTTTCCAAAAACCCTAAATCCATTCTCTCAAAATAAATCACACTTTCCCATTAAAATTCAGAAAATTTCCAGTTTTTTTCTAAACCTTTATTAAAAAAAATTAGTATTCGGGACCGGGTAAAGAAAACTTCTACTCCCCTTTCATGGATAAACTTGAAAACTAAAATATTGTTGTGTTCCAAGTTGTCTAACGTAAAAGAAGTATAGTGCTCCTTTTTTTCTATACTTACTGTTTTTATAAGTTAAGAGGAGGGACAAATACCTGTCTGTTTTTGAAGTTCCATTCATGATCCAAAATGTATTTTGCTTATTTTCCACAGAGAATGAAACCTTCTTTTGTTTATTAGTCCTGAACACTAATACTCCTGATATTATGGAAAACCACATATTTTATCCTTTGTTTGTGTTATGATATTCACCTGGATCAATAATAGAGAATGCATTTTCTTCAATTTGGCTCATTTTTCTCTTCATTTGTTTATGGGAAGGATAACCACAATTTAAATTTTAAATTTTTTAAATTATTTTCAGCAAGAAATAAATCTATTTTTGATTCTAAACCCTGGAAAATTTTATTCCTGGAAAATATGATGGGAATAAAGCACCTATCTTATCCTTGGTTTTATTATCATGACACTCACCAGGATGAACAGTTGCATTTTCTTCACTTCGGATATTTTCCCTGAGCCTTTGCTGTTTTTATTATTTTATATTTTTGGCAGGTTGACAACACGAAGTTTTTTTCTCTCTCTTTTCTCAAGCTGTTTTCCGATCTCAGCCGATTTCCGCACTCAAAGCAGCAGTGACAACTCGGTCACTTATTTATACCGCCCAGATTTCTTGACTTAACGAAATTCACCACGCCTTTTAAGGAATGAAAAATCGAATTCAGGTTTTTCCCAACTCGGCATTCGACTCAATTATTCCGCGGAACGCGTTTGCACACAATAAAAAGTCTTACCCATGGGACGACCCGAACATCCATAACAAGACCTTTTTTTGGGAAATATATTGTTGGGTTCCCGTGGGACTGGGATCCAGTCATGTTTCTCCATAGCTATTTATGTTTTCTCAGCCGGATGTTGAGGGATGATAACTTCTTGTTCAAGATTTGAGGGGTCTTGAGAAAAAAAAAGTCTCTGGGTGAAGAAAAAGAAAAACCGGACGAGAAAGTGTATTTAAGAGACATTATTGAGAGCGACTTTGGAGATTTACACATTTCTATATACTATTTATATATGTAGCATATTCACCCTCAGATTTTTCAAAAAAAATCCATTGCACTTTTCCTGATGAAGAAAAGACATGCGAATGTCACATTTAAGGTTTCTTTTTATCATTGAAAAGGTGTGAATTTTGTAGATGGCCCCTAAAACATGTGCAGTACTATACTTGTCTTTGTATTTTCTTTCAAGAATATTTTAATTCTTTATGTGTATTGTAGTAGTTTTCAAACATTGTTTTTGCTTATCTTGTGAACAAGACTTGTGTAGCCTTGAGAGTAGTCCTGAGCTGGAAAAATACAGAGATAAAACAGCAGGCGCCTTTTTTAAAAGATGATTTAATTTAATTTTATACAGTATACTAAAAAAATTGTTAAAACAAACTTTGTGGGACTTCAGAAAAAATTGGTTATACTGAATAATTTATTATCATAAGATTTTCAGCATATTAATGACTGATAAATTTTTCAAATCAGATCTGCCTGTATAATGAATAAGATCTTTTTTCTGGCTTTTTCAGGTTGTTTTATAGTTGTTTAAAAACGGAGTAAGCTTTGCTTACAAAATGTGCTTCAATCATGCTTTTGCAGGTAGAAATTTCCAACTGGAGGATCTATAAAAAATTTGTTGAAAAAGTATTGTTTTATAACAAGATTGTGTTAACATGTCTCTATTGGCTTTTGGTCAAGACTCAAGACTTTTGATATAAAGTTGATTGCACTGAAATGTTTTTGTAACTGCATTTGTTGTGATGAGATTTTACTGTACTTGCATGACTGTTGTGAACCTCCTTTGCTTGAAAATGTGATTCAGCTTATCCACTTCATGTCTTCATCTTTTCATTCATGAATATTATGGAGATGCAGTCTCTCTTTGTTTAATTTTCTTGAAGACAAATTCTGGGTTGGAAAAATGCAAGTCAAATTTTATTTTTTATCTGCAACTTTCCATAAGCAAATTTGCACTTGTATAAAGTTGATTTATTTAAAGTTTGTATATTTGTATAAATTCAAATTTTAGTTGCATCATCAGTCAAGTTTATTTTACCTCCAGACGGTAAACATTTGTTGATAGTGAGAAGAAACCACTTTTTCTGTGACAAGAAACAAAGAAAAAACAGGGTGCTCAGGGCAAAAGGTGGTCTTTCATTCCACTGGAGACTATTTTTCAACTCAACTCAGACGCTGCAGTACCATTATTATTTTGTGTCACCTCTTCGAAAGAGTGTTATTCAGTTGTTTACCATCACTTTATCCCATGACTCATGCATCATGCAGTGATGCAAGAATTTCCTGACTTCTAAAAAACAATCGAATCCCCAGCATAATAATGTATAGGTTTTCAAACCAAAAAATATATGTGTATTTACTAGCTGAGTTTTTTATTGGATTGTGATTTTTCCATAAAAACCACAGAAGAAAGAATTAATAAGATATTCAGTTTTTACACTTCTGAAACCCAAGAAACATACATACTGTATATATATATATATATATATATATATATACAGACACACAGTCATGCATATTCAATGAGGTTTTTTTTATGGATTTTGAATTTATAAAAAAAATACAGAAGAAATAATAAGTAAGATATTGTATTCAGTTTTTACACTTTTCAAAACCAAGATATATACCGTGACACCTCAAGATGTGGATGTAAACATGTAATTAGTGCATCAAGAGTGTCCTGATGTCAGAATGTCCTTAAGTCAAGTCTCATTTTCCATCAGACTTCAATCCTAACATATTTCATTCGTTTTCCTTTTTTCAAAAATTAGAAATGAGTAATGAAACATTTTTATGAATATTATTGTTTCCCTCAACTTCAAGTTACATAGAAAACAATGGTGAAAAAAACACATAGAATCTGATCATTTTGTATCAAAAGAAGCTCAAAAGCAAAGAACAAGAATAAGTCTTGCTAGAATATGCACAGATGATATAAGAAAACTATGAAAAAGTAGCTTAAAATGAGCTGTTTTTTTATCATGAATTAGACAAAACTTATCAAGAAATATTTTTCAATTTTTGTGAATATAAATAGCTTGATTTGTTCAAAAGATATCAAATTAAAACAATTAAATGTTTTGATTTTGTGGGAAAATTTCAGAAAAGTGTCCCTAACTTGAGGCAATGTCCAGATGTCAGGCCTGATTTTTTTCAAGTGTCCCTAAGTTAAATTGTCCATATGTTGGAGTGTCCACATATAAGGGTCTCACTGCTGTATATATACTGTATATACTTGATTAGTTTTTTATTGGATTATGAATTTACTTTTTTTTTAATGAAAACCACAGAAGAAAGAATAAATAAGGTATTCAGTTTTTATACAAACCAGCAGTAAATACATATTCCTTTGACCGAATTTGTAGGAAAAGGTCAACAACCTTCTGACTCGGATTCCAGCACCTTTTGAATGGTGAACCAGTTCGTATATCACCCAGCAGTGCTGTGAAATGCCCCCATAATCCAATTTAATTCATAAGGGCATCATTTTGTAAATTTCATTTTTTTGTGTATAGCATTCCAGCTCTTTTACGACGCATTGTCTATACAAGCTGTGAGAATGATTTCATTTCACCTAAACGTATATAATAATTTATTTTTTAGGCCAGCTCCATTTTCGGATTAAGGAATGAGGATCAGCAGTGAGATTTCCCCGTGAGATCCGGTTCAGTCATTCGTGTTTTCACGTATTTCTCTTTTTTTTTTTCGTTGTTGTATTTGAGAGTAGGGTAAATCATGATGCATTGTTGTCGAGGGCCGTGGGTGCGAGTGTAGCTGACTTCCCACGCCTTCCGTCAATCAGGAACAGGTTTAACACGCAGGAGGTAAAAGGTCGCGTTTGGACCCGGGAAAACTTGAATCACGCTCCCGACAGGTCCCAACCTTTGGGCCCGGGATGCGTGCACGTCGCATTTTATTATTCTCCAATATACATACGACTGTGAACTGCTGTATATTTTATTCATGATTTCGTTCTCTTTTTTTTTACCCGAAAGTTTTGCGCAATGCATCTCATTTCTGAGAAGGTTGCGGGAGTGAATCAAGTTGGTATTCGAGGATTTTGTTGTATATTTTCAGGTTCATGCGAAGCGGCAATAATAAAAAGAAACATAAAGACTCATAAAAAGAAACGGGTTTGTATACAGTACATGCAGCAGGTGCTGATGGACTACCTTCTACAAGGAAATATGCATGGGACCAGAAAACATTTTTTATAGGAAGAATTTAGTTATTGAGGTTCCATTAGGGAATACATTAAAATCTTTGATACTGGCATTTTTAGTCCAAACACAAAGACTTGAGCAAGCTGAATAACTCTGAAAGAAAACTGAAATTGTCAGGCTTGCTGAAAAAAAAATCAAGGGACTTGTTGAGTTTTTAAATTCAATTGAGTCTAAATTTTTGAAAATTGTAGAGAACTTATAATTACCTTCTACAAGGAAATGCATGGGACCAGAAAAAATTGTTCTAGGGAGAATTTAGTTATTTGAGGTTCCATCAGGGAATACAGTACAATATTTGATACTGGCATTTTTCTAGCCCAAAATCAAAAAGTTGAGCAAGCTGAATAACTTTGAAAGAAAACTGAAATTGTCAGGCTTGCTGAAAAAAGTTAAAGGATTTGTTGAGTTTTTAAATTCAATAGAGTCTAAATTTTTGAAAATTGTAGAGGACTTATAATTACCTTCTACAAGGAAATGCATGGGACCAGAAAAAATTGGTCTAGGGAGAATTTAGTTATTGAGGTTCCATCAGCTGGGAATACAGTACAATATTTGATACTGGCATTTTTATAGTCCAAACACAAAAAGTTGAGCAAGCTGAATAACTCTGAAAGAAAATTGAAATTTTCAGGCTTGCTGAAAAAAAATCAAGGGAGTCTGAATTTTTGAAAATTGTAGAGGACTTAATTTATTTCCACCATGTTGACCCACAGAGAAGGCTTGCTTTTCAATTAATGTGGCCCTCAGTCACTTTTGAGTTGGTGCACCCCTTTTTTAGGGGTTCTTGTCTACAACAAAATTCTCTCTAAAACAAATTTGTTTCTGGTACTTTTTAATTTATAGTTGAATGGATGAGAGAGTCCACCTGCATACCATATTTACTGGAGAAGCATCATGCAACCTCAATCAATACAGGCTCACACGTACCTAGAATTTTGTTGCAAAATTTTTGAAAAAATCTGTCAGCAGATAGTTTTTGTTCATTGGAAATCAAAATTCATGAACCAATGAATAATACTTTGTAACAGAATAACCTTTTAACTGAATAATACGGCATGAAAAATTGCACCAGAGTTGGTGCAAACAGAGTTTTAAATCCTTTTTTTTTTTTACCTCAGACTAACTTAATTTTGAAATCATAATTTGTTGGAAAATGTATGCCTGCATGTAAAAATAAGCATACACCACTTTTCTGCCTTAATTTTCCACAAAAAGTGGAAAATCAAATATATATGCACAAGGTACTCAAGTAAAAACAATAATGTATATAATATATATATACAGGTACAGTACACATACAGTTGGACTCTCTGCTGTACACGATTACATAATTGTTTCATTCTAGCCCCAACATTTTCAGTGTATTTCATATCCAGGAGGAAACCAGTATCATCAAAAAAATAATTAACTGTGCAAATGGGCGTGCCTATTTCTGCTGGTATACTGCACCTAAAAATGCATGCATCTAATTATTTAATTGTGGCGCATTTGGCAAATGTCATCATGTTGGAGATGCATGTTTTATCCTGATGTAATAACACGCATATACTGCGTAAAATATAATTATTAGCGGGTTTTTTGAAAATTTGCCTCATTTTATTATTATAGCAAGAAAATCAAGGCTTCTCATATTAGTGAGAAGTGAGCAAAATTTGAGTTGCGAAATTTGATCCGGACAAACAAACGGACAAGAAAGCGAGTTAATAAAAACGTGTTAAAAAGAAACACGGACTCATAAAAAGAAAAGGGTTTGTACAGTAACTGCTGATGGTGCTGATGGACTACCATCTACTGTACAAGGAAATGCATGGGACCAGAAAAAATTGTTCTAGGGAAAATTTAGTTATTGAGGTTTCATCAGGGAATACAGTACAATCTTTGATACTGGCATTTATAGTCCAAACACAAAGACTTGAGCAAGCTGAATAACTCTGAAAGAAAAATGAAATTGTCAGGCTTGCTTAAAAAAATTCAAGGGACTTGTTGAATTTTTAAATTCAATGGAGTCTAAATTTTTGAAAATTGTAGAGGACTTATACTATAATTACCATCTACAAGGAAATGCATGGGACCAGAAAAAATTGTTCTAGGGAGAATTTAGTTATTGAGGTTCCATCAGGGAATACAGTAAAATCTTTGATACTGGCATTTTTAGTCCAAACACTATAAGACTTGAGCAAGCTGAATAACTCTGAAAGAAAATTGAAATTTTCAGGCTTGCTGAAAAAAAAATCAAGGGAGTCTGAATTTTTGAAAATTGTAGAGGACTTAATTTATTTCCACCATGTTGACCCACAGAGAAGGCTTGCTTTTCAATGTGGCGCCCTCAATCACTTTTGAGTTGGGGCACCACTTTTTTTAGGGGTTCTTGTCAACAACAAAATTCTCTCTGAAACAAATTTGTTCCTGGTGCTTTTTAATTTATAGTTGAATGGATGAGAGATTCCACCTGCATACCATATTTACTGGAGTAGCATCAGGCAACCTCAATCAATATAGGCTCACATGTACCTAGAATTTCGTTGCAAAATTTGTGAAAAAATCTGTCAGCAGCAGATAGTTTTTGTTCATTGGAAATCAAAATTCATGAACCAATGAATAATACTTTGTAACATAATAACCTTTTAACTGAATATATGACATGAAAAATTGCACCAGAGTTGGTGCAAATAGAGTTTTAAATCCTTTTTTTTACCTCAGACTAACTTAATTTTGAAATCATAATTTTTTGGAAAATGTATGCCTGCATGTAAAAATAAGCATACACCACTTTTCTGCCTTAATTTTCCACAAAAAGTGGAAAATCAAATATATATATATGCACATTGTACTCTAGTAAAAACAATACTGTATACATATACAGGTACAGTACACATACAGTTGGACTCTCTGCTGTACACAACATAATTGTTTCATTCTAGCCCCAACATTTTCAGTGTATTTCATATCCAGGAGGAAACCAGCATCATCAAAAAAATAATTAACTGTGCACTTGGGCGTGCCTATATTTCTGCTGGTATACTGCACCTAAAATGCATGCATCTAATTATTTAATTGTGGCGCATTTGGCAAATGTCATCATGTTGCAGATGCATGTTTTATCCTGATGTAATAACACGCATATACTGCGTAAAATATAATTATTAGCGGGTTTTTTGAAAATTTGCCTCATTTTATTATTATAGCAAGAAAATCAAGGCTTCTCATATTAGTGTGCTGAAAAGCTTGTGGAAGTTATCTCATATGGACAGTATTTTTATGTAAAGTACATATAGGAATTTTTCCAGAGTCTGGGTCAAGGTTTTGCTGGCAGAGGGTACAATAAGTAATGCAGTATTGGGAGATAAATCAGGCTTATTGGCAAGGATCTTTGCTGGGGGTAGCCTGCAGGAATTACAACTAATATACAGTATTTTCAGCAGACATCCAAGCATACACACCAGCCATATACAGTACATGTGATGCATAACAACTATGTAAATATAATAGCAAGAGTGTCTGTGTGACAAATCTGATGTCTGATATGATATACATCACACATACACTATTCAACAAATGCAATTCAATTCAGTATTTTAACTATATCATCATATATAGAGGATTGAAAATCTACATTTAGAGCAGGAGCTATTATAAATGTGATACAGTTTTTATTCTAAACAATGCTAATAAACTACAGCTATTAAAAAATTCAAATGTTTGATGATGCAGCAAATTTACTCTTATATTATTTCCAAAAGTATTGATGAGGTATCTGTAATCTATGATAGATATTTATCAAGCATGCAAACCTCACACATCATCACAGATGATATTGCTGAATTTGTTTCTGTTTTGTCAAAAATTTTCAGCAGCATATAATTGCTGAATTGATGAAAATATAATAACAAAATGCATATATATAATGGATGCATGTTTTGTTATTTTGAGCTTAACATTCTCCATTTTTATATTCATATATAAAAATTTACGTTTTTGTTTTACATGCTGTTGCTTGTAATTTTCCTCTGCGCTGTGCCATACATATCTATATATGGCAGAGAAAAATGAACTTTCATCATTTCTAAGGTTAAAAATCACGGACTTTTATGCCGCAAAGGTTGATTGTTGGCATTAGACTTTACAGAAAACAAAAAGATTTTTCCATTTTATATTGAATCCCTCCTTTTTAAATAATATGTCCTTATATAATAACCTCCATATTTTCTTCCAAACAACAAGGTTTCCTTTCCGCAGTTTGCTCCCAGCATGCTTATACCGTATATCTATGCTGGATGAACAGTAAATATATACAGTATACAGTGCTGTACTGTGTATAGATCTGTCAATGATTCGGCCATACTTGAAAGGTTTCCTTTCCGCAGTTTGCTCCCAGCATGCTTATACCGTATATCTATGCTGGATGAACAGTAAATATATACAGTATACAGTGCTGTACTGTGTATAGATCTGTCAATGATTCGGCCATACTTGGCAACATTTGTAATATAACACGTTTATACTTAGCTTTTGCCCCAGTCCTGAACATGTGAGACCGTGTGGCCTAATGGATAAGGCGTCTGACTTCGGATCAGAAGATTGCAGGTTCGAGTCCTGTCACGGTCGAATATTTTTTTCGACGCATGCCTTTCATGACGTATTTCAACTTCCGCTCTATAGTGCTGCAAATAAATTCGAAAGTTTAAGTGACGTTGCTCTTTCCTTTTCTGCTACCGCTGAATCGAGGTCATCCAGCAGGGATGAATAAGACGTCAACCCTGAAGTTCACTGTATTTTAGAAATGTTTTTTTCAAGTCCAGCATACTGCATGCCGTATACTGTATATATACTGTATAGAGCAATCATGGAATTATGAATGAATCCTGTCTCGTATTGTTCGCACGCGGGAGGAGATGTAGAAAAATTGATCGCGTTATTGAGCAGGAAATCAAGGAGAAGCGGGATTTTTCCCAGGACGGGGAGATGAATGGATGGATGGATGGATGAATGAATGAATCCGCGGCGACTCGCGTTCAGCATGTACACAGTATATAGGCGAAGCTCCGGGTGCTAGAGAAAAGTACATGGCGCCAAAATATTTCAGGAAGCGCAACATCACTGCGGCGGCTGTGATGATAACTGTGAATTTGACAATTTTATCGATTTCATGTGTTTCAAAATAGTGAATCAGTATAATGAATATTTGTATTCGAATAATAAAACACAGCTGCAATAATATATCAACAAATGATGATGACCACAACAATGTCATGCTGCTGCATCATTGTCATGCAAACATTTTGAGGGACTTGTAGGGAAGCTTCTTGTAAGTTTTTATTATGCTGTATATGCAGCACAATAATGTATTTAACCTCATGGAAAGTATTTATGGGGAATAAGCATACAGTATTTGTATACCTTATCTATGCTGTTCATTATTCTTGCTTTAATTAAAAATCCTTATATAGTATCACTTTTAAACTAAAATTTAGTCAATTTGAAAACTTAGGGATAACAAAAATAAACATATTCAAAAATAAAAAAGTACTGTATTGCATATGTATTTTTTCAATGTGCATATACGGCGAGTGATTGTTTGCCATGTACCCTAGTACATGTACATGTACATCTGTAACAGGATCAAGCTCTGTTTCTTATAGCAAAGACCCAGCAGCTATATTGTAAAATCAATTCAATGTCAATTCATGCACAAATGCATATGGAATTTTATAGTTGAATAAGAAGCACTAAAAACTATAATACTTTCATGCAAAAATATCTTCACTGTTCAATCGTTTATGATTTTTGCAAGTATTTTTCCGAATTTTGAAACTGTTTTTCATCATATTAGCGTTATTTCACATCTGCGGGATTTTCGCATCTGTGGCGCTTTCTCGTATGCGGCGTTTGATCAGGAGGAGGGGGATATATTCAGGATGAGAGAGTCGCGAGGAATGGAGGCGGGTTCCGGCGCACTGCGACGGAGCGATTACATGAATGATCCAGCCGCTGTCCGTCACTCGCCCCGGTGTCTCTCCCACTCCAGTGCTTCTGAGTACCGGAAACGCTCTATCCTGCCGCCGCCGCTAGCGCATGCCCCGAAATCCATTGCATACCCGACTTTTGTCGGTTTGAAAATACTTTTATCTGATTTAAACTCCATTCAAAAGGCCTAAAATTACTTCAATCAATCCAAAAATGTTAAAAATTATTTTTTGGTGAATTATTTTGCTTGTGAAATCAAATTAAATGTGGAGGTGATTCGCGTTATGCGGCAAGCCCGCGGTTGCGTCTTCATGAGTGAAGCGTATGAATGAACAGACTTGCTGTTCAGCGGCGGGAATGTAGTCAAACATGGCTTCCTCGTACGAGGGGGACGTTCGGCTCGAGGAAAAATTAAAACTTAAGATAGGTGAGTATTTTTGTCAATTTTTCAATTGAATCTTTCTTATTCGAGCTTGGTGAAGTGCGTTAAGTGTCGTCATGTAGTGCATCTAATGGGCAGTGGGCGTTATTGCATTTTTGACGGAGACTCGTCGTAACGCAACTGCCCGTTTAAAATCAAACTTTTTGAAATCGATCGTGATATTTTGAATGAAAAGTGGTGAATGAGTTTTTCAAAGTGGGGTTCTCGAATTGCAGATGCAGCGAAGAATGTTATACCCAAGTCCTCAAGCAATTCAGGAAGAGATACTTTCGTTGCAGTGGCACTGGACTGCGAAGAAATCTTTCGAACGGCAATCAAACAGAATGACAATAAGTAAGTTTCGTCTTCAGTATATTTGTCATTTTTATAATAAGACGCACTTTCCCAATGAAGATTGATTAAAAGATTCAGTGACTGTTGGATATTCGATGTAGTCTTAGCCGGTGAAGTGCTTGATCGCTTCTGATCAGTGCTGTCATTTGAATTCAAAGATTCCGTTATGTTTTCTCATGTTTAATGACGAATGTCAGTTCGAAGTGTTCGAGTAGACGAAGCTCCACTAGTGAACCCAACAGGCTTTCGGGTCGTTGAGAAGTGAAATGTTTGTGAAGTGCGACGTACACCCGACTAGGTGCAGGTACTCTAGAAGAACGCGGTTTTTGACGATTTCATTTCACAGCCCTTTGTACGGGGAAGGGATCGAGTTTGATGTCCCACGGCAATTCCGGCATCTATCTTTTTGCTTGTACGACCATGACAAGAATTCCAAGCAACATCGCCTCTTGGGCAAGGCGACTGTCAAAAAAGAGCGACTCAAAGAACTCTCCGGCAAGGAAAGCTGTTTCCAGTTGTCCTCATGCGACGTGAATGATGACGTCCAGGTACGGTTTTCCTTGTGAATTGTCGTTTTTTCGTAGATTTCATAAGGACATATTATGTTTATGACGAGAAATGACATCTGGAGAAAAAAATCCATGACCAATTGTTCCGATGATCCGAATTTTTGTCATTCGTGGAAGTCACGTGAAACGAATCTTAACATCGAGGATGCTTTTTTTTTCAATGAATTTACTTCACTTACTTCGTGAGCGGCTAATTCTAATTTTTTTTAGCTGTAATATTTTAGACGAGAAAAGCGTTCGATGAAATGTAATTCCGGAACCACGACCACTCGGAAAAATGAGTGCAATAATGATCATGGGCTCTTTTTCTGGGTGTAGTTCTATGTGATGCTTTTCGTGTGGGTGATTTATATCATAGCTTAATCATCATCAGGGAATCGTTTACCTCGAGCTCGGTGTGAAAGAAGTGCTTGGAACGGATTCCCCGTTTGCGCTGCCGAGTCACAACTTGATTGTGAAAAATGTCCAGTGTTCCAACCTCGCGCTCACGAACAATGCGTGCAATCCCTTCGTCATCCTCACCCTGCAAATCAGCGAGCATCGGATGGAGGCCAAGAAGTCGAAAGCGAAGATGAAAACCACGCGGCCTCACTTTGATGAAACGTTTCAGTTTACCGTGAGTTTTCCTGAGCTAACGGTGATTGAAGATCTGAGTCTTGGGATTATTCCGCAATCAGTTCGTGTTCGTAGCTGTCTTGCGAGGTGTGATCCGCGTTCGCATGCAGTCACTCCAGTTATTTTTGTTTTTGTGTGTGTGTGAAACAAAAACATGCCCGCATGCTCGTCAAGCATTTGGGGCGTTTTATGGATTTATTCTTATTTTTCAAATGTTATTCACTTGCACCTTTCTTTGTTATCTCACCGCTCTGGGTTTGGATACTTGTTTTTATGCTTGCTTGTTGAATCTGCCGTCACCTATGATGCTTGAAAGTGTCGTTAGACTCTCGGCTCTACCCTGCATAAAAAAGAAGCAACTTACGGACTAGTTGAGCTTCTTGAAAAACGTACTAACCCAAGTTGCTCAACCAAATTATCCTACGACGTAGGTAATCGAATTACCTAACAACCTGATCGTATTTTGTAACTGAGTTATTATGGCTCCAATTTCATACCGAAAGCATGACCACTCTAACCTAATGCCGAAGTTGCTACAAGAGATACCAAATCAGACGTAACCTCTATTTGTACAGGAAACCGATTGAAACAAACCTAATTTATTCTTTGTATATGCTCCAATGCATACCCCGGAGTTTGTTTAAAATATTTTACTTTTTTGCTGGTATTCAAAAGAGACTGGAGCGTATTGGCAGTAGTTAGGACTGCTTGACAAGAGACAAAGATTTAAGAGAAGGACGCACCCAGGTGAAAAATAAGAAGAAAAAACTTTGATTTTTTTTTTTTGTATTGTTTTAAATGAGACAGGAAATGCCTCAAGATTCGATTATTTGGAAGTGTTTATTTTTTATTATTTTTTAACACTGTACTACTGTAGGGCATGGTTTTGAAAGATTTTTTGGATGATGGGATTTATACCATCCCTTTCTTTGACACAGCTGCTATTTGAGACCAGCCACTATTTGCTTCAAGTTTACCTGAGACCTGACCCGTATTAGGGGCAGGCCTCTATTGGAGACCAGGCATTTATCTGAGCAAATACTTCTACATATCTTGATTTTACCTTAGTACCCTCCCAAATTCAGTTCAGTGCTTGAATGAATTGCATCAAGGAACAAAATCAATATAACCTGTGCAAAATTCAGCATTTTTGTAATATCAATTAACAGATGTTCAGAGTGTCTAGTTATTCTCCACCAGAGAAGCATGATTTGCATTTTTAAATTTTTATGTGCTCCTGCTATCAGAGAAAATGTTGAATGATTTTTTGCGATTGTAGACTTTTACAGTCGAACCTCCGTGAGTCGAATTTCAAGGGACCAGCTGCACGTTTTGCGTCAGGGAAAACAAAGGAGAATCGCAGGAAGTTGCATTTGGTGATATTTGGCCCTTAAATTGCTTCTTGAATGAGTTAACAGAGTGTTGAACTTGAAGGCAAGGGTTCATTTGTCTGAACATTTTCATTGCTTTTCTCTTTCCCGAGTCAATAAAATACAGTAATAGCCAAACCCCCCTCCAGAAAATCCGAATTATGGAGGTTTGAAGGAGAAAGATTCTAATTAAGGTTTTCAATGCATTGTTTCTAAGGGAGTGGAAAAAATTCGACTCGGGGAGGTTCGAGTTTTCGAGCTTCAACTGTTTGAGAGCATTGTTAATCATGGATTTTTTTTTGTTCGCTCTGTATAACATTGCCAGGTGCCAGCCAAATGCGTCCGAGGCAACAACTACGCATCCCGGGTCGCCCCCCGAAGCTCTTTGGGCCCGTGTCGCCCCGACGACTGCGTCTCTGCCCTGGACGTGCTCTACTTTGCCCACCTTCACGTGTCAGTGTTCCACGAACAGGCCGCCTTGCCGACACCGCTGTCGAAACCCGTGTCGCTGGGCAAGGTCCGAATCCCGTTGCGGGCCTTTGATCTCAGCAAGGGCCACTCGGCCTGGTACTTCCTGCAACCCGAGATCCCGGGGTATCGAGGGGCCGAGAACGGCGACGAGATCGTGGACGGGCGACGGGACGTGGGTTCGTTGCGGGTGCACATTACCTATTCCGCTGACCACGTGTTCTCGGCCAAAGTGTACGAGAAGCTGTGTTCTTTGCTCATGGAGAGCCCTACAGTTACGGTGAATATATTTTTCAATGTTTAATATAATTATTTTTTTAATTTGGTGATTGACTGTGTGATGATGTAACGTGAAGAATGTGTTATTTCAGTGTTAATCGCGTTAGGAGACGCTTCGCGCGCAGATTTTTCTGTGGATAACAGACTTGAGTGAGATAGTGAAGTGAATCCGGCTTCACTCTTTGAATTTTCGAGTGGAGGCGATATTTTTTTTTAATGATTATGAGTGTGTTGAGAATTGTTTTTCTCTTTTCTATGTGATTCATATTTCTTAAAATGTAAGACTCCTTACGAGGCATTCAACAAAAAGCCTCTAGACTCCCGACGAAAACTTATTTCTGAGAATCCGAAAATGCTGGAATATTTATTTCAATATTGCGAGTTGATGATGCGTTCGGTGGCATAATATGGAATTCCATGCAATTGTTTCCCTTTCGTGAGCATGAAGTGCGAAGGAAACCGCGAGGGAATGACCTATTGGCACAATCTGCGATAGTTCTTGAGTCATTTGCAAAAATAAGCAGTATGACTTGTCTAGTCAGTAAAATAGAAAAAGTAAACCACTAATTGGAATAACATCGAAATTTAACGCTTAAGAACAAAAGTGTACAGTACTTATGTTTTTTTGGAATGCATCTGTGAGAAGCGGAATTCAGGCTAAAATCCTGGATTTTTCTATGTCTGTTGCCCTGGTCTGCCTCCCGTTTGCTAAATCGGCATTTAATTGGGCGTATGTCGAAGGAAAAAAAAACGAAAAATTTCCAGCTTATTTCATGAGTTTTTGAAATAAATCGTGTAAATGATATTTTTTTAGAATTCAATCTATAATATTGCTTTCAGAAATTTCAGTCCCTGCCTAAAGACGTCATATGTGTCAATTCATCTTCTGTTGATCCTGCTTTCATTTTTTATACGAGCTCAGATATTTTTGGGTTCCTGCATTCGCGGTCTTGAAAGCTAAAATATCCCTCATAACCAGAACAGAATGACGGGGAGAAGGATCCTCATACGTCTTTCGACCTGGGAATGGAATCTATCCCAGGGAAGAAGCTTAACTTCATCATGTTTGAAGCCTATGGAATAATAGAGCGCGAGAAAGTCTTTGGAACTTGTAAGACATGAACATTTTTTGGAACGAGATCTTTGTCATTTGTGAGAAGAATTATGATTACAGTACCTGTAAAGCACTTTTATAATGTAGCATTTGATCCAACCGAAAAAACTGTCTTAGGACGTGAGCTGCACAGTTTTGTTCTGATGCATGACGATTCGTCGAAGTATCCTTCTGGTTCTCCGGTATGTTATCAGACCTTACCTGAATTACTTTCAAGATTGATGCTTAATTACTCAAGGGAAAGTGTCAATTAAATATCAGCAATACCAACCTGAAGTGATTCAAAAATGTTGATGCGACTTGAACTTGAGTTTCGCAATCGTCGTTTCACAACCGTATTACATTTTTGTTCTGTTTTTCCCAAGCTGGTCACGTACAACGGATGAACGGAATTTCATGTTTCTCCACGGAGCAAAAAATGTGCGCTGACCCGGATTATTATTATTTTTTGCCGTGAAATACTGTAATTGAATGCATGATTCCTATTTTTCGCAGAAGTTATAAAATGGGCGCTGATCCGAATCATACTTTTTGGTGCGGAATATAGTAATTGATTGCATTATTTATTTTTTATTTTTTTGCAGCCTGTAACGGCCAGTGCAGCTTGGATATTGGGTGCTTTAACGGGCCTAAATCCAGAAGCAATTCAGCCCCTGGTGCGAGTTTTCCTCAACGAGAAGCAAGTGATCCCATATTTTTTATTTTTTTGCAGCCTGTAACGGCCAGTGCAGCTTGGATATTGGGTGCTTTAACGGGCCTAAATCCAGAAGCAATTCAGCCCCTGGTGCGAGTTTTCCTCAACGAGAAGCAAGTGATCCCATTGATACGGTCATTGGCTGAAGTTGAAATGCGCCAGTGCACGACGTGAGTAATTTTTCTTACTTTTCGGGAGGAAGAGACGAAAAAAAAACCGACGGATTTGACTGATTTGCGGAAACTACTTGGAATTTTTCCAAGAGAGCTGAATAACGCGGAGCCCCGGAAGCACGCCATTTTGTTGTTTATGCACCGAGAAAGCTCTCTTCCTGTCTGTAATAAGGGTCTATTTCCTGAGTGTCTCGCTCTATCCTCGAAGCCGGCTCCTTCTGCTTTGGGGTATTTCTAAAAGTTACTGCGCTGTAAATGTCTGCGTTTTGTCCGTGCTTCCCCCTGTGTCTTGTGTGACGAAGGTGAGCGGAAAGTCGTTTAAATTTAATTGGAATGTGTCGGAAATATTGGAAAGCAAATGCCGTATTTACGCGATTATTAGGAGCTCCTTTTTCACAATTTTAGTAGCTCAAAACTCGGGGGTGCTTATACTCGCATATCTACGCGATTTGCGTAAATGTGCGAGTATAATAAATCTACTCCAGGAAATTCTCCTTGTTTGCGTCCCACGAAAAAACGATCACGAACGTCTTTGTTTCAGTTCTTTTGGAATTGAAGTTGAAAAACATCAAGAAAATTGTCAGCTTTTAGCAATTCAAGATTCATGAGTCATTGACTGGAAAGGAAGATCAAGGGTTGTGTGACGCCATTTTTCTTTTTCCGGGGAAAACCTGAATTCAGTAAAGTTGAAAAACATCAAGAAAATTGTCAGCTTTTAGCAATTCAAGATTCATGAGTCATTGACTGGAAAGGAAGATCAAGGGTTGTGTGACGCCATTTTTCTTTTTCCGGGGAAAACCTGAATTCAGTCAAAAATTTAGTTTCACGGACAGTCAGAACTCGAGGAAACAAAGTTGGTGCTAATATTCGCCTTTTAATGGAATTTTAATTTTGTGCATTAAAAAATCCGGGGGTACTCATATTTGCGTAAATGTGGTACGTACTTGGAAGAAAGAAAATGTCAAGAATTTTGGCCATCGTCGTTCTATAATTTCTTGGATGCTGGTGGAATATTACCGGATGTTAAAATGTTGATGAAATTTTGACTGCAGGTGACATTACGCAAAATATACCTATTCTATCAATATGATAGAAAAATATTATGAATATCGAAAATTTCGCAATTCGCAGAAACGTCCTGAACGCTTTATATCTTGAACGTGTACCGGAACTTGGGCGAATCGTACGCAGGGAAATTTCCGGATTATTTGTGAATAGTCGGTTAATGTGCTGTTCGTCTAAAATGTGATAATAGTGCTTGAGGCTGAATAAAAATGTTTTCATGATTTCATCACCGACAAGGCTTTAATTCAGTCATTGTAATTGGCATGGCTCCGGTATATTTGGAAGTCGATTCAATTCAGAAAGTTTCAGGATAAAATTAAAATTATATTCAATCCGGAAAAAAAAGATGTTCGGATGAAGAATTCGAACTTTTATCTGAAAAATGTATTTTCTTCCTCCCTTTATTTCAGAGATCCTACGACAATCTTCCGTGGAAACACGTTGGCGTCGACGTGTTTGAACGAGTTCATGATGATAGTGGGTCGAACGTATCTGCAGTCCACGTTGAAGTCGAGTTTGGAAAAGGTGCTACGAGAGAAGAAGCCGTGTGAAATTGATCCCAAGAAAATTACCGACAGCGACTCTCCGAAAAGTTGGTCCATTTAAAAATTTTTTTTTTTCGTTTTGGATTTTGAGTTCGAAATTATTCTAGCTTTCTTGGGGATTATTTCTTCTCCTGAATTCGTCTTGGAAATTCGTTTCAACTTGTCGAGATGCTCTATTTTAGGAACGAATGACGAGGCTTTTTTTCTTTTTTTTTAATGAATCCGCAAAACTCATCTTTTCGACTGCTGAAATCGTTTTTCTCTGTTTCATCCATAAGAATTCCGAGAAAATCAGGCCCTAGCTTATTTTGATCTGTCACGATGCATTTTTTTTGTGACCCTGAAGTTTTTAGTTTTGTAAAACAAAACATTTGAGTGGGAGGTTCCGGAAAAATCTGCTTTTCCTTCACGGAGGGTAGTCGTTTCTTTTATTTTCTTCCACCAGAAAAAAAGCGGGACACGGGAGTAAAGAACTTTAATGCTAATTATTTTAATTTTCGATGCAGTAATTGAAACCGATGGTTTATTTTTGGAATTGTGTACGTTACACAGAGATACTGTTACTGTACATTCATTCGTGACGATTTGAGGAGGTTGATTATCATGAACATTGAAGTGAATTAACTCGTGGCTGGACCAACGTTTTTCTAATTTTTTAATTTGAAAAAATACAGTTTTTGCGATTCATGATATACTATGGATTACTCTTCATTATTTAAATAAGGCTTTTCTCGCATTCTTTCGTGTTGCAAAAAGTTCGCGGGTCTGAAACGCTTTTTGTAGGTACATTGTATAACATTACGTTATTGACAACCGTAAATGCGACTAGGTTGTAAAGCGTGGTCAACCTTAGAATCTTAATTGATTTTTTGTATTATCATTCGTGAAGTTTTTTTTTCCACAGTACGAGTCAAGTTCATGTTGAACAAATTAATGCTTGTTTTCCTTTCTGTTCCTGAACCTCTCTGTAGATGGTCCAATGACTCCAATCTTTGATCTAAATTATTCTACTTCAGATTGTATCATTAATATCGTCTAATCAGCTTTCAATTACGTTAGTGAATTTTGTTTCCATTGATTGTTCAGCAAAAATTATTATTTTCTATGGGAGGAAATATTGGTGGTCCGGGGCTTTTCTTGCATTGAAGCGCGTTGTTTCGGGATGTA